CATTGATCAGGGTGTTTTTTTTCCCTGAAACAATATATTGGGAATCCCAAATACAACATCTAACTGGCTTTTCTACAAGCTTCACAGCAGGAACTGACAGGGACAGTGAAGCAGACTTCTAATTAGTGTTATTAATCAAACCTGCACTTTTCCTGCTGCAGTCGTCCAAAAAAAAAAGCTTCAAAGTCAACGATAGAAACTACGTTTTTTGTAAAAGAACAGGACAAGATGAGTTACACTACCGCCTGGTGTGTCACGGTGTATTTCTCACTCATCAAACACTTCTTTACAGTGTGTTAGGTGTGTGTAGACTTGTGTGTGGTGGTGCACTAACTAAGCTGCTCTCTGTAGTCTTCAGCACCAGCTACCCAGCCAGGGCAGCCTATCAGGTTGCTGCTCTTCCCAGAGTGAGTACTTGACAAAGTCTTCTGCACTTTTCTATTGATTTCATAACGATTTCAACCAACTTGAAAGCCATTATCTTTACAGCCTCTCATTGCGTTCTCTCTCTCTCTAAATCTCTCCCCAGGGTGGACTGGTTGAGATCGAAGCAGTGGCTGTTTTGGGCCCTCTGACTGATGCTTCCTAACAAGTGCCTCTATCAAACAATTAAACCTCTGAAGCCCCTAAAATCCCAAAAGATGATTTGTTTTTTTTTGTCCTGTCACCTTCTAGGACTTGTGGGGCTCCATAAAAACAATAAAATCACTGAAAATTCTACAATAGTTTACTATCGATGTATCTTGGAGGCCATTAAGCAGTTTAGCTCAGTAATAAACATGTCTTAGAGCACTTTCTCCTCTCTCATTAACTTTGATGAAACATGTTTAAAGTCAACGCTGCATTTTAAATTCCCACTGCTCACATTCTACTTATAATAGCTGTAAAGTATCTAAGCTTGTTTGTTGGATTGAATTACATCACCAACCTGTGCTGATACCAGCTATGACAGTGTAGTCTCTTTCATAATGGAGCAATCAATACTTATACTTTAACAATAAATGGTTTTAATTTTCCTAAATGGTGATTTGTTTCCTTTATATCAACAACAACAACAAAGGAAGTTGTAGAGGATCACTGTAAAGTCTTCCTCAGTCATGGGTTATGCAGAACGTTGTTTAAAGTAAATTACAGAAGCGTAGGGAATTCATCGCTGATATTTCATCATTTGACTGAAGAAATCTCTGCAGAAAATAGAAATAAAAAATCACAAAAAGAACGAAAATCACATTATGAAAAACATTCTTATTGGTGTTTCATCACTTGTCGATCAGAGTTTGTATAAAAGGGATAAGTTACTACATGCTATGGGAGGCGACACATCAGCAGGAATGCATTCCATTGCAGCACTACATATCCGTGAGAATCTCTTCTGTCTAGATCAGTGTGTGATAGGATCTGTGTAATCATTTGAAGTCCTTTTGGGTTAAATAAAAACTATCAGGCTGTCGGCTCTACAAGGCACAATGCTTGCTTATACATTTCAAAAGAGCATATTCTGGTGCTCTGAGCTTGCACACGTCATTGTATGCATGGTACAGATGACTCATGCATCAATGTTGGAAAGCAGAGGCAGCTCTTATGCACAGTAATATATATTTTTAAATGGCATATGGTTGAGCCAGGGCATGTTTTGTGCATATAACATCAGTGCTAATTTGAATTACCAGGCAGGGATCACATTACAAGTTTCTGAGTCATGAAGATGAAAAACAACTTGTTTTGAAAGTCACATCCTACTGCTAAGGTGTCTTATTTTGCATTGTTTTGAGTATGCATACTTCTTTAAACACTGGAGTGAAGCACAGTGGTTGCTATATACTAAAATGCAGCCTGATTTCAGTTATGTAGATGCAAGGTGACGCAGTGGTTAGTACTGTTGCCTCACAGCAAGAAGGTCACCAGTTCGCATCCTGGTGAGGACAACGGGGATCTTTCTGTGTGGAGTTTGCATGTTCTCCCCGTGCAGCATGGGTTCTCTCTGGGTTCTCCGGCTTCCTCCCACACAGTCCAAACACATGCTGAGGTTAATTGGTGATTTTAAATTGTCTGTAGGTGTGAATGTGAGTGTGCTTGGTTGTCTGTCTCTAAGTGTAGCCCTGTGATGGACTGGTGACCTGTCCAGGGTGTCCCCTGCCTTCACCCTGAGTCAGCTGGGATAGGCAACAGCCTCCCCCCATGACCCTAGTGAGGATTAAGCGGTGTATAGATAATGGATGGATGGATGGATTTCAGTTACATTAAGCACATGTAGCGCATTAGTGAGTAAAACTTTATTCTGTACACTAAAAGGTTAGCAGAATCATAGACAAAGTTCAGAGAATGAATATATTACAGAGAAAGAAACAGGTGGAAAAAAAAATAAATCAAAACAAATTTGTTCCCACAACATCAATCACATCCTATGCAATTAAAATACATTTCTAAATCCTTTGCACTTTTTAACACAGCATGTAGAGCTAATGTTTCACTGTGCTACACATGTTTGTAATGCACCTTAACTAAAACCTACGAGCAAATGACATCAGCGTTAACCCACCATGGCTTTGTATTTATAGTTGGAAAGACGTTTATTTCCAGGAAGACTATTTTTTGAGCACTTGCCAGCTACAGTACATCTGTACAAAATGGCTTTGTGGAACAGCAAGATGACATACCAGTACTTGGATCATCTGTATGCTCAACCTGGCAATGGTTTATTTTGTCAGTAATAATCTTTTGCTTATGCATGCAATTATCTAAGTTGTTCTGCTTCACACAGAATAAAAAACACATTTTGTTTAGGATTTTTTTCCCATAAAAACCAAGGAAAATGATATAAAAAATTACTTTTTAAACTATTACACTGTGTTACTCACCACTTAGTACTGTCAATCCTATTAATTAAGTGAGCCCTATTGGAAAGACTGCAATTAAATAGTGTGTAAACAACAAACAAAAATGTGGTTTTATGGCAGAATTTACATTTAACTTAAAACTCCATGTGTGAAAACATGGTCTTTAAAGATCGGTTCATATAGATGAAAACGTACAATAAAGCTAGAAGTGTGACCCTAGTCGGTGTGTTATTCAGCCTTCCAGTTGCATACTCCTGTCACTCTGAGCTCTTTGCATAATTATATTCACAGTCATGTTTGGCTTGTTTTCCTCAGAAGCAGCTACTTTAAAAAGATTTACTGCAAGCATCCTTCCCTACATGTCAACACACTCCAGTCTCTAAAGAGTTAACAGTCTCTACAACAAGAGTTCACAGATTTCACAAAGTATTGCACACTCTTGTCACGCGTTACCTGTCCTACGTGTTTTCAAAGCACTTTTGGTGTAAAGGCCTACACGTGTGGTATGTGGCTCCAGGCACTTGATGTCCCGTAGAAAAGCTCCTCCTCTTCCTCCTCCACAAAAGGTTTATATACAAATGCAGGAAAAATCCTGATCTTCCCTAAATGAAACGCTATTAAGGCACAGTGAATATTAACATATGTGCTGTACAGTTTGGTGAGTGTTGATGAGACAAAACTGAGAATTTAGTGTGTTTTCTTTTGCTTCATCTTTATCTTGTGTCTTTGGGAGTTTAGTTGTTTTGGAGAATGTCTTCTGTCTCTGAAAGAAAAAGAACAGTGAGACAATCCTAAAATGTCTGGCATGAACTTACACTGTTAATATTGACTGTTTTTGTTACATCAGGTTTACTAATTTTGATATATATATATTAATACCTAAATCTCTCTCTCTCTATATATATATATATATATATATATATATATATATATATATATATATATATTTAGGTATTCAAATTTTCTTGTTTGTTCCATGAACCCAGTTTTTAGAAAACCTCCTTGGTACATACAGTGGTTTTCACTGATCCTTCTGACTTTTTTGGCTTTTAAGCAGGAGGTGTCAGAAAAGTTACCATTCTACACACACATATATATGTATACACACACTTCAAAGAATAAAGTGAGTCTGATCCTGCAGTGTTTGCATTAAGTAAAAGAGTGGTTTGTGATTGTGCTCTCACCTCCTCAATCCTCCTTTTTGGCTTTCTCACTCTCTGTATCCTGGGAGGCCTCATTTGCAGATGCCACTACACACACACACACACACACACACATTGAGAGGAAATCAGTATATGACATTTCACAGTGCACAGCCACATTTCTTATTTCATACCGGCTCTGAGCTTGTTTGACGTGATTTTACTTTCACCAAGTTGCCTGAGAAAAAGTGAGGCTCGAGCATTCCTCCTTAACCACATCTGGTTCGCCTGAACTGATTTACTAGTGATCTACCTTAACACACACACAAGACACACGCACACACAAGACACACGCACACATGTAGCCTCCAGAGAGAAAGTCTCATAAAAGTTATGCAATGCAGCATGTCTTCCACACCAGACCAGTAGTATACACGTGCTGCGTGGAGGGGCGTCTCTGCCTTAAAAGTACAACATGTTCCTTGAGAGCAAAGAGTGGGGTGCAGGCCTCACTAAAAACCTTGAGCTCTGCCCTACAGAGTGCAGCTGACCACTGGAGGTGTACAGTGAATGGTTGCAGTCGCACTTTTTAACCATAAAGCTTAAATATTTTAAACAGAGTACACACTTAATGTAGACTTTTGCCAAATTCTGTGCTTTGTTATCCAAAGGTGTAAAATTCCACATATTGGAGCCAAGCACGTAAATTAGCATCAGCACTGTGGGAACAATTCTGCAACACACACATCAACTATATACTCCAGATATTTTAAATTAAGCCATGAATGTGATTTTATACAAATCTGCATGATGACTGGAATCCATTCAGGCCTGTAGAGCATTTACATTGTAGTGTGTAATTCGAAGCAGCAGAGCATGATTAGTCTGTAAGCAGTTCACAACAGAACACAATGAGAGAGAGTTGCCTGACTGGAGCTGTTGTGCTGACAACGTGCTCGCACTATAATCGACACGATAAAGCCTTCATTTCTCCCTCTGAGAGTGTGTGGCTGCTTTCTGTTTCTCACACTGTGGTATCTGTTCAGCCTTAAGGCCCAACCAAGTCATCCTGCCAGCTCCAAGCAATCAGGAGTGCACACAGGAGCCTACAGGAAGGACTGATTACTATAAGAACAGCTGACTGGTTCACTACAACTTTGGGGGTGCTAAAAACTAAAAACCTGCCTTTTGTCCTTTGGTCATATGTGTTGCAAGAAGATTGACTGCTGCCATTCATTGTTTATCTACATGTAAACAAGAATTGCTTGTCCATTTATTGCACTTTACTAAGTCGCTCTTTGCTCACCTCCAAACCACCCCCCACCCCACTTTTTTCTGCGTGTTTGAACCTGCTTATCACCAACCTAGTTTCCCAGGTATTTAAGCCAGGGGCAATGCTGCAGTCTTTGACCTCCACCCAAAAACAAACTCCTGAATCATGCATAATGACTTGAAGTTGAAGTCAGCATGACAGGTTTGTCAGACAAACAGTTCAATGTATGATCAAGTAAATCACTGAGCAAGAAACCTGTCTTAAGCAAGATTTTTTTAAACAAAAGAAATCCTGTAGTTGTCGTCTTTTGGCTGTTCCTTTTACTCCAGGAAATGTGGTCCAGCTACATTGCAACGCATCAGCTGTCACATGTACAATATGGAGAGTGGCTGCTTTAAGTGGCTATTAAAAATCTAAAAATAAAAGGTGTTCGAGGAGTCTTGCTACTTTTCAGCATCTCAGCTTTCAAATATGTTCAAGGAGATGTTTTTTATCTGAATATGTAAAAAAGAAACAAGATTCCTGACAGGATAGGATGAATCCAGAGGTGTTAGTGTTCCATACCATCTGGTGAAGGCTCAGGAGCTGGATCAGCAGCAGGGGCTGGTGCCGAAGGGGCTTCAGATTCTGCCATGGTAGGCTCGACTACAGGGGCCTCTGAGGTAACACTTGCTGGTGGAGCCTCTGGGGCTACTTCTGCAGTGGTTTCTGAAACAGCTGGCGTGGGTGCTGGAGCCTCTGCGTTCTGGACCGGCTCAGCAGCAGCAGCAGCAGAATCAGCCTCTGCTGGTGGAGCAGTCTCAGCAGGGACTGTGGGGGGTTCCTTTGCCTCCTCAGCAGCAGGCTGAGACTCCGCTTTGGCATCAGCTGTGACAGGAGATAATGGAGGCATCTCTGGAACAGTTGCTGCAGCAATCTCTGTGTCTATTAACAGCGGTGCAGTTTCAACTGGCAATGAGGGTTCAGCTGGTGCTGCAGGTTCACTTGGTACTGAAGGCTCACTTGGTGCTGAAGCTTCATCTGGTACAGAAGCTTCACTCGGTGTTGCGGTGGCAGTGTCTGGTGAAGAACTGTCAGCTGTAGCCTCCACAGGTGCAGCCACTTCAGCTGGGGCCTCAGCTGCAGCCTCTTCCACAACCACTGGAGTCTCTGCGGGCTCAGATACAACAGGTTCAACAAGTGGCACAGCAACCACCTCCTCAACAACGACAGGAGCTTCAGCTTGCACAGCTTCAACAGATTCAACAGCAGGGGCCTCCTCTGCAGCCTCGACAGGGGCTTCAACTTTAGGAGGGGCCTCTGCCAGTAGAGTTTCTACAGCAGCTGCTTCCTCCACTGGGGGTAGTGCTTCCACCACTTGTACAGCAGCCTCGGGCTCTGCAGAGGCTTCTACTGGAGCAGAAACTGCAACCTCTAGAGCTGGCTCTTCAGGAACAGCAGGTTCTGGCTGAACAGCAATTTCTGGCTGTGGCTCAGGAGCAGTTAGGAGGTCCTCCCCAGATCCTAGATCCTCCTGGGCCTCCAGGGCCTCTAACACAGCCTCTGCTTCATCCTCAGTACCCGGCTGAAGATCATCTGGTAAGGCAGTCTGCACAGGCAGCTGCATCTGGTCCTCGATGGTTTGTGCATCTTCTGGGACGATCCCATTTCTGACTACTGTCAATAAAGGGACAAAAGAGAAACTTGATTAGGATTTACAACTGGCAACCATCCCGCTCTTATCAGTCATAAGTCCTTTCAGCTAATGATTCCCGTTAATCTGTAACACTGAATACATGACGAAGAAAAACATCTGAAGGAAGCCTCTGGAGAATTCATGGAGGGATCTGCATCTGTCCTTCAGATAGTCTATGAATTGAATGGTTTTGTTAATTAATAAACTGCATGTGTTATGAGAACACTTATTCAACCGTAAAAGAACAAAGTGCTTTATTGCTTTATTATACTTAAACATCTATAATCATCTACTATATAAAATGTATCCTATATAGTATAATTATGTGTTTGTGGACATGGATCTGGACTATTTTAATTCACTAAATACAAAAGAATTGAAACCTACAAATGTAGTAAAACTGTAGTGGATTGAAGGAGATAGGAAATGAGCAAAAAGGAGCACAAAGAATGCGTGCAGAGGAAAACATCCTTTCATTTCCGTAGTCGAAAATATGATTTATTGAAGCCTGTGTTTGTCTAAAGCCACATTGACACGCACTCTCAAAGGAAATAAAATACACATGATGATGGCAGTGCTGCATTTGGAGAGAGGCCTGTACCTTTATTCTCATTCCCAGCTCGTCTACTGTCACAGTGGGTGTGAACAAGCCATCAGCCCTCAGGTGAAACTTTAGCAGATGAGGAACAATAACGGGCTCAGATTCTTGAACTGAAATATCAGGAACTGCAACACACCTCTCAGTTACAGGAATCATAAAAGCCAAACAGATGCTTTTGATCTGTCCACGGAGTGAACATTGTTCACAAATGAGACAAACCAGAAGAGTTCAGTTAGCTGAATGGGTGGATAGTTTGGACACCGCAGCTTCCTGATTTTATTTGTCTGTCAGAAGCAGTAAAAAGAGCTGAGAGTGATGGGTGGAAGGGAATGTGACGGCGTGGCAACTTACATGAAAATGAGCCAGTGGAAGAACACGCAACACTGTGAAGTGTCCAAGGCAAAAATATTTCTATTTACATCACTTTTGAAATAAGAGTATAGAATTTTAAAGCTTGAGGTTTTTTGATGTTTTTTGGAACACTTTAAAAGACTTAACACATTTCCTTTATCTGTTTCATAGATTTCACACCATCAGCTCCGATTCTTTCATCAGGAATCCACATTTTTTACCCGCTCTCACAGAGAATAGAGAGTTTTTGTCCGAGCACTAACACAGATATGGTGTTGAAAAGTGTGAACGTGTGTGTTTGGGTCGAGACAGACACTCCAGGCATGGATGACCCGTGTGTCAACATGATTTAGCAGCCAAAGATGACAGAGATCCCAGTCAAAACAGTACCATGGCCAGCCAGAACTGCAGGGAAGGGAGGGGGGAGGCGCAGGCCAGAGGCACAGACTGGGGATGGGACCAGTGGTGGCTTGGATGGCATACAGCTGGTTTGTTAGACAGACTGTATACTGTATGATTTAAAACCTCCACCCATTCAGCCACATTTAGAGAAGGCTGCCTGGGCAAAGAGTACAATAACTGGTTTTCTTGCTGGGATGATGTAAGAGCCTGGAAAGGGAGCCATGCTTCTCCAGGTGACTAAAGCTGGCTGGCTGGGCAGACAATGCTCTGACATAAGCATCATAAAGTGACATACTGGAAATGGAACATGCTGTGCATGAGCACAGAAGAGCCATGGCAGGCAGGATGAATGCATAACATTTGTTTAGGCTATATGCTCAGAAATGTAGTCACATCTTTTTATCATTAAAATATAAGCATCATCCTGAGTTGTGCATAAACAGTCACACTTTCCAACAAGGGCTGTGACTGTCATGATGTGTGCATGTGGGGAGATGCAACGAGAACAAATTGTACATGCAGCTGTGCCTGGCATGACATAGCCATGTGCCAGTGAGTTGTTTGGAGCCATGAATAGACAATCATGGGCTATGTGAAGCCTTTTGGTGGGCGTCTTCACAGGCTTGAACACAGAGTACATGTGTGCAAAGAAAGACAAACCAAGGTAACGACTGTCGGTTTAGATACTGCTGTCCCATGCAGAGGAATTTCACAATATCCAGAAAACATTTAAGCTCCCCTCTAAAGAGCATCAATGTCCAGATTTCTCCTCTTTCTCCTTTGCATCTTTTGTGTGTGTGAGCTAGAGAGAAGATCAAACACTGCTTAGCACAGATAGATGATAATCTTTGCAACCCACTCTTTGAGGAAACCCACAGCACACAAACTTTAAAACCATGAAGCAGATGCTCAGCATCTTTTGGATCATATCTGTTTGATGTTGTGAAAACTGCTGCTGAAAACTATCTAAAGCCACCAATCACTACTGCAACGACTGGTGACAAACAGGTTGGGTTGCAAGTCTTGCCTCTGGCTGCAAATAGACTGCTAAACACTCCCAGCTGGCTTTCACACAGTGCTACTGTAATATTGGAGCTACATGCAAACCTCAGTTCTACCAGCTCCTTTAGCTTTATGGTCTGAGGTTCAGATTTCAACATGAATCCGTGCCTTTTTATCATTGTTTTCATCATTATTGTTTCATCATTTAGTTTCATTGTTAAATCAAAAGATGACAGTTTTTGTCAACATGCTTTTAGTGGTCATGAAGCTTGGAATGACTGGCTTAAAACAAATAGCAGCTGCTTGTGGACACTGATGAAAAAATGACTGAATATAAATAATTAAAATGCCCATGAGGAACTAAAATGTGCTGTGCAGCAGAGTATGAGTAAAAAAGCACACAGTGTCCCAGACCAGCCGGCAGCAGTCACACACCCCGCAGCAAGTCTGACTGAATGGAAGCAGCACAGACTTAGAGCAACTACTGTAAATGTATGCACTATGTTCAGTATTTAACAGTTAAAAATACAGAAATACTAAAATACAAGCATAAAGAACACTTTTAAACTCTAGACAGATGATCATTACTCACCCACTGTGTCTCCGTTGCTCTCCTCAGGCTTTGTGCCTGGTCTTTTCTCTTGATCAACAGTCTGTGCACTGGATGAGGAGCACCCCATGTTTGGAAAAAGAAAGTTGAGATGGATCAAAAACTTGGAACCTACTGTACGAGCAAGCTCACACAAGTCTCAGTGATGTCTATCTTCAAAGACAGAGACTGCCTGGCAGTGAAAACATAAACAGCTAAACTCTCTCCAGTTCCTAAGAGTAGCTGGGCACCATTATCTCCCCTTGTCTCTCTATGTGTTCATGCATGGCCTGCTGCCCTCCTGCCCCAGACGACAATCTGTTCTGAGCATGCAGCGAGGCAATGCAGGCAATCTTGCTGAATGTTTCCTGACTGCCTCCTATTCACAGTCACACTATTCATTCAGGAGAAGGAGGCAAACATGTGCACACAGTGTGTACCCTCCCCTTTATAGGACCATCCCCTTTGAAAGAGTTCCTCCACCTTGTGGCAATGTTTAGGATAGCACATGAACAATGAATATATTTCTCTTTAGCTTAGCTTTGTGTTTGCAATGTTGTTGATCCAAAATATACTGAATGAATCAACAATAACTATAACTAATATTTTACGTTTCTTCTGACAAATAGTTAAATGCCACTACAGACATATAGACTGTTTAAAGTCACCTTCTGTGAAAAAATCAATTCACATACCAAAAATATGAGGTGTAAAATGTTTATTTGTCAATCTGCTGTACAGAGAGTTATGTATGTGATTTGGTATAATGTAGCAAAGAACATCTCAAACAAAAATACATTGTGTTATTAGAAAAGTGTATAAATATCTTCAGTAGAAAGCATTTTATTTGCATATTGTTCAGCGCAGCTTGTTGAGCAGGATCCCATGAATGCTACACTGCAGATTAGTGGAGGGTTGATGGACAGGTTTCAGTCTTTTAATTATGCACAAGTTGATTCTCGAGTGTCTCCAACCTCTGTGACATGGCTTCAAGTAAGCATGTTAAGGAAATTATAGTAAAGAAATCCAAGTAAATTCACAAGTCCGAGAAACCAGACATCCAAACATATTGAACAAGACTTAGAGAAAATAAGATAAAGACGTGTTTTCTTTGGAAACATTTCAGAACACAACAGCTTGTAAATATTAAATGATCATTTTAAAGGATAAAATGTGGACACACCCAATCCTCTCAACATCATGTGAAGGTTACTTATGAGTCTTATCACCACTGTGCAAAGAAGGTTTATACAGTATTTGCAACAAATGCTTAAATTTCCCAATGTATTGTAAATAATGGAAGTGATAAAAGATGTATTTGACATCTTAGAACCAGTTTAAGCTTGTGGCTTTATCAGCTTGGTTGATCCAGATAACTATTTGGCACACCAGGTATTTATTAGCTGTTGTTCCCGGCACCTCTACCAACTCCTGATAATGGGTTGGCAGTAACTCTAAAATCTCATAAATTTGTTTGCCACAGGCCTTTCTTATGTGCCAGAGAACTTTTAATTGAACGTCTCATATAATGAAAATCCATTTTTATTGTGTTTTGTGGTTGGTTTCAAGTAAAAACTGTTTAGACGTTTACTTTTGCAGCTTCTGCTTACTCAAAATGTCTTGGGTATGAGCAAAGCCCACCAAATGTTCTGATGTTGACTACAAGAATTAACACGAGTCCTCATGCACACCCAGCATCTGAGGAACTGAACACCCAGTGGATTACTTTTAGTTTGATGGCAATGTCCCCGTCACAGTAAGAGAATCCTGAAGTGAGTATGCTGTGTGGCTAATGTGGGTAATGTTAACATTTGTTTTGATCACATTCCCACAAATCAGAACTGTGCGGAGAATGTAACACAGAGAGACATTCAAATAAGTTGAAAAACCAATTTTTAACCAATAAACGAGAACTGGCTGTGGTTAAATGGGTTGTCAAGTTGCCTGGTAAAATCTGATGCAACCTAAACTTAGGTGGTGTTAACATCTATTTACTTCTCTCCTACTCTCTGTGCTCACATATGGGTCATTGTAACACAGCTGATTTACCAGTAAAGCAGTTCTAATTTACATATTTTTCTGTTTCTGTTGTCGGACAATGGAACAAACATGAAATAGTGACCAAAGCACAGCCCCTTCATAGCCATTTCCCAGCTCTGGCTCTTCACCTGTAAAGTATAGATTTTTTACCTGCAACATCAACCAACAAACTCATCATACATATGTCAAGAACAATGGCTGTACTGTGAATTCAAAAATATTTTTTAGATTGCTCAGACAGAAAGTTAGAAGGAACATAAAGTCCTGGTCTCATATGCCTTGCATTTATGCTCCACATTGTCAACTACAGATGCAGAGAGAGTCTTCTTTCTGAAGGGGGCATGAACAACAGCTCAGTTGTATTTAAACCTATAGACACTAAAGCAATGTTTCAAAATTAAAACTTTCTGACACATATTGGTAATACTATTTCTAAAATAATATGACAAAATCATCAGGGCCTTTGTCAGTGTCTCATCCCTACTTAACCTACCTTTAAAAAAAAAATGTAATAATCCACTACTGCATACAGACTGTAAACTGATGATCGTTTAAAAGGTTAAGTAGAGTGTTCCTTGGAAAAGTATCCTGAGATGCAAATACCCAAAAAAAAAGTCTACACAGATGAAACATGTTCACATCAGGTTTTTCTCTTGAGCTTCAATATGTAAACACTGACAGAACTAGTGTGGCTAATAGTTGATTATGACCTCTGGAGGATGGTTTTTCAAGAGTAAACACAGTGAAACTATAGCAGAAAAGGATATTATTCTGAAACAGGTTCTTCAGCTTCTCAGTAACTTGGTTCTGAAACATTATCATGTTCTCACACTGGCACATGCTGTCATCGGATGGTTTATCTGTGGAGGAAAAATAATGAGGTGAGAAAGTCTTTCTGTTCTTTATTTTTCACATCACTTCTCTCCTTATCCTCCACTGCATGTTTTCTGTTCTGTCTCTGCCCATAGAGAATGTGAGTGAGATACAGTTAAGTGTTCATGTGACTGCTGAGCATAAAAAGACTGGGGCTGTGCTGCTGATGCAATCTGAGATGAATATGGCAGCAGCAGGTGGCAGTGATGCACCAGTAGAACGGAGGAAAGTTTTAAACTGAACATTTTCAGCAAATTGCCCTTCAGGAAACTAAACTTTCCCTGAAATACTATTAAACACAGTATTAATCTGCAATTCATTAAGATGTAGTTTTCCAATATCCTGTTTGGTCCCAGATTTTTGTTTGACAAAGTACTTTAGCCTTGTGTGGACTACCTGTACATATCCTGGACTTGAGTTTCTTTGTAATTTCTCCCATTTTCTCAAAATCCTCAGCATAATACAGATGCTTCTCATCAGGCTCTGACGCTATTTCTCTCAGCTCCTGTTCAATGGCTTTACCAATACCCAAGACGTATATTGTGACCCCTGAAAGTACAAGAAAGCAGGATGAGGACATGAAACTAATGGATTAAGATACTTCAATTGAGAAACTGTGGTGCATTAGGATGGCAAGACCAAGATTGTACATGTACCAGAGTTCTTTGCTTTCGTGGCCCATTCGGAAACATCATCCTGTGATCTTCCGTCAGTGAACACGATGCTGACACGTGGGGTGTTCGGCCTGGCGCCTTCTTTGGCTGAAAAGCTGAACTCAAACATGTGACGTAGAGCTGAGCCAGTCATGGAGCCTCTTCCCATGTATTGCATCCGGCTCACCGCCTGCTTGATGTTCCGCGCAGTGGTGTACTGGCTCAAGGTAAACTCTGTGCGCACCTTGGTGGAGTACTGAAGAAGGCCCACATGCGTTCCCATCCTGGAAATGTTCAGCGAATCCACGATGCCATTTACAAACTGCTTGACAAGCTCAAAGTTGGCTGGACCCAGACTCTTGGAGCCATCGATCACAAAAACTAGATCCATGACTCCATCGCCGCACTCTGTCTCTGTCAGAAACGAGGACATTAAAGTACAGTGTTTTATGTATGTTTAATTAGTGGTATATTAAAGACAAATGAGATAAAACACTGAGTGCATAAATTCCTCAAAATACACTGATGCACTGTCTGACACAGATTCAAACCAATGAGTTTATATATATAGTGAAACAAGGAGTGGTATGATGTTGCTATGGCAGGTAAAATAATTCATATCTATATAATATATTGTGAAAGACGCTAAGATGTCATACATTATGACCTATCAACAACATTCACCAAGTGATTGCTGTTCCACAGGGAAAAGACCAATAACTTTCTGGCTATATTAATGCAGTGTGGTGGTAAACAAACACACAGAATATCCCCCTTAATCCGGAGGAAGGGCAAAAAAATGAATTTTGAGTGAGCGTTTGGATTAACAGTGACCTCACAAATGGTTCAAGACTCGATCAAAATTATGTAACATGTAAATACCGGAATAGGGAACAAAAAATATCATAGAAACATTTGAAAACATGCTGGAATGGATAGAAGATTAGTTTCTGAATTTGGCTTGCTTTGACTGAAATGTTCACGTTGTCCTTTTATGCTGGTGTCACATGAGAATTAGATGGCCCCACACTAAATCAGAAAGAATCTCTGTTACACAGCTTATATTATTAATTGTTAGCATTTAATTAAATGCAAATCTTTCTCAAAAATCCCCGAAAATCATTGTGTTTAAACATCCAATATCATTTTCTTTATCTGGCACTGGCTGAATATTTCTTACAATAAATGAGCTTGGACTCACGCTGACATGTTTTTCCGTCAGGTTGCAGCGTGTATCCTGTTCTGCATTTGCACACACATGAATCTTCTGTGTTCATGAACTCCTGCTCGCAGCCATGTTTCCCATCAGCACAGTGATCTATCTCTGCAGGAGATTACATATATTAATCTTAAGTAAGATGACTGATAAATAGCACACACACACATACACGCACACACACACACACACACACGCACACACACACACTGTTCACATCTATTGGTACAAACGCCGTAGGAGCCAAACTCTCTATTAAATCATCTTTTCCAGTGAAAGGTGCATCTGCTTTTTTGTGATACTGAGAGACCACAAAATTATAACATTCAATTTAGTCTTGTATCTTTTGTGAATATAATCAGATGCATCAGTTTTTTAAGTCTGTTCATGGCCAGCTCATTAGATCTGTCTGTCCATCCAAAGTGCCATCCATAGTATACAATTAAGTCTTGTATCTTGTATCAAATAAGTGTCTCAAAAGCAACTGGACATTCATCGTCCTCAAAGACTGATGTTTTCCTCTAGTACTGCTACCATGTCGTAGTTGTATTACAGGAATCTAAATATAAAACTCATGGACACACTATGTGAAATTTACCTAGATAGTCCACAGAGAAGAAAGCCTGCTAGTAATCTTGTAGCCACATGGGCAGCCTCTATTTTTTGCTTTATACACAAGGTACATTATGTCTGGATTTACATAGAATGTGTTGTAAATACTTACTGCTACCAGAGAGCTCATGAAATACTGTATTTTGAATGTTTTTAAGGCACATTTCATGATTCCAACCAATGCTAAGTTGTGTTTATTCCCCTGTTGACATATTAATTAGCACTGAGTTTGTTTACCACACTGTTCCTGTGTATCAGTGATGAGAAAAGAGGGATATCTAACCATTACACAGCTAAAAGGTGTTGAGGCTGACAGCTGTCTGGTTAAACTTTTGAGTCATCAACATCCTGAAGTATGGCAAGCCTTCTATTCAACACTACTAATTATAACTAATTATCAAGTTTCTTGTGGCACTTTAATTACCTGTTGGCACAGGCTGGAGGACATCTAGAGACGATATCAGTGTATATGTAGTATTACAAATGATGCAAATCAATCAAGACATCACTGTGAGAGAAATTGTCCCTAACTCTAAAACTTTGAGTAAAATATTCCTTTCTTTGCTAAATAATAGCAAAAACAGAAAAGATGCATTGTATACTTACTTTTGCATGTTTTCCCATCAGGTCTGAGTGTGTAGCCTTTTCTGCATTTACACACACAGCTGTCCTCTGTGTTCATAAACTCCTGTTCACACCCATGGCTGCCATCAGCACAGTGATCGAGCTCTGCAGAAAATACGATATTAGCACAGATTGGAAGGAGTAATTTGACCAAAGAAAAAGGAGTCCCAGATTTTAATGTGACACATTTTCATCAGAATCTAACCAAGTTTCTTCCTATACATTTAGATTACAATAGAATAAAACAAAGTTTTATTGCCATTTGCACGGGGGACATTATAGTACAGGTACAATAGAATTCTTTGTGCATTTTCTCAAGTATGCTTTATATATAGGATATAAGAAGAAGAAGAAGAAGAAGAAGAAAATAAAATAATGTAAAATAAAGAAAAGGTAAGAGCAGCACTAAAACAAAAACACAAATACATATTATAAAAAAAGCACTTTGTATTAAAGAGCGTTTAAAAAATAGATACCCTTAGAAGGTAAACTACCCCAAGAAAGTAATAAGCCAATTGATATGAATGTGTTCAGTATTAAATGTTTTGTAAATTAGTAAAAACATCACTGATTTCATGCTATGTAATTATAAAGAAAAATCTGAACTGTTTGTTAAATAAAAGAAAAAAAAGAAAAGAAATATGAAAAAATTCTTACTCTTGCATGTTTTTCCATCTGGTCTGAGTGTGAAGCCTCTTCTGCATTTACATATACAGGAGTCTGCTGTGTTCATGAACTCCTGCTCACACCCGTGACTGCCATCAGCACAATGATCAATCTCTGGAACGAAAAACAGAAAATAACATAGATATTGTTGCATTTTGCTTAATATAGCCTGACGTGTGTTCATCTGATGTTTGTCATATGGATATTCTTCTGTTGTGAATGTATACAAATAGACATTTTCAGTTATTTTGTCTGACTGCAGAGGGATAAAAGCACTTACTGCTGCAGGTTTTTCCATCCAGATTGAGGACATAGCCTTTGTTACACCTGCAGATGTAGGACTCTGGAACGCTGACACAGTCGTGTTCACAGCCATGGTTCCCCAGGTCACAGTAGTCTATTCCTGAGGAGGGTGACGCTCTTATTAATGTCATAACTGTACCACTAGTACTGCTGCTGCAATTTAAAAAATTCCAATTACCAGTTTTTTGTATGATTAAATTGTTTATATCAACACATATACACCTAGTACACAAAAGCAAAACCAGAAAAAAAAAGAATATGTGATTCTTTTATACAGAAATCTATCATTCTTTCACTCAAAATCCACTCTTTATTTCTCTAATAGAGGTGTAGAGCTGTAAACCCAAGAAGCATCAGTCATTCTTGTTTTGACTGGGTAATACTATGATAGCCTGCGTACACCTCTGCATTTCGGCAGCTGCTCTGATGATTGTAAAAGCACACTTCCTCCAGGAAATCTCCCCCACTTTACTTTCTGTTAACATCCACCAGAGGAGTAAAAGGGACCTCTTCCAGCAGTGGGTGGACAGACATCAGTGGAAAGGAGGGATGCTGGCTCTCATTTGAACTGGAGGTCTGTCAAAATTACACATTTTGCAAAACCACTGCTTGCAATAACTGTTCCATATGGCTGTGTTGGCTGTATCAGAGTGAATAACCAATTATTTATTAAGAGTAAATATTGTATTCTAGCTTTAAAAAATATTTTTTTAAATAACAGTAATAATCTTTGGCATAATTGGTATTTATGTTGCTTTAAAGGACAACTCTGGTGATTTTATAAAGAAACACACATTACACAACTGTCCATCGTGAGTAGTTTTTTTGGTACTCAAATTTGGTCTCAAGACAACTTTATTTTTTTTCTTTTTTTTCTTTGAACTGACTGCGCATTTGCTTAGTCTTATCATGGCTTCAATGACAAAGACAAAGAAGAGGTCAAGACCAGAGTATTGGGGACCTCAAATAATTACCTGTTCATTGTCTGAATTTTTTATTATAAATCATTGTTTGACTGGATTTAAAGCATCCTTCTTTAAATGCAACAAATACATTGGCTAATTTCTGAAATGTTACTGTTAACGGCCGTTACCACTCCCCACTCAACATGCGCCAACCTGAAAGCAGAGCACGGGAGAAGAAGCAGTGGCAAAACCACTAAGAGTTCATCTGCTAAACAGTGTCAAACTCTTATCAGCACTTGAAAAGGAAGGATTAAGAAAGATAAGCTAAGCACAAGTGAAAAGCTAGATAACATCAGCAAACTGCCTTCTAAAAGAGATTTAGCACATTTCACACACCCTGCTTGCTTCAGGGAACAGATGTAGGTCTAGAGGAGGTTGATCCCAGATATGTCTGTGGTTATTTCCTATTTATCCATCCATCCATTTTCTATACACCATTTAATCCTCACTAAGGTCGTGGGGGGGCTGGAGCCTATCCCAGCCGACTTAGGGCGAAGGCAGGGGACACCCTGGACAGGTCGCCAGTCTATCACAGAGCTACACTTAGAGACAGACAACCAAGCACACTCACATTCACACCTACGGACAATTTAGAATCACCAATTAACCTCAACATGTTTTTGGACTGTGTGGGAGGAAGCTGGAGAACCCGGAGAGAACCCACACTGTATGGGGAAAACATGTAAACTCCACGCAGAAAGATTCCGGTGCCCCCACTGGAACGCGAACCGGCAAACTTCTTGCTGCGAGGCAACAGCGCTAACCAACTGCACCACCTTGCAGCCCTATTTCCTATTTATTTTGAATTTATTTATGTTTGTTAGGGAAAACATAAGTGTGTGACAATCCTTTCTCAATTATACACTTAGTTGCACCCATTGTCCACACTTGGTCTCAACCCTCAAAGTCTTGTCTTGGCCTAAGTTCAAGTGGTCTTCACTACAACAATATCATAATAAACTGGAGTCACCCTGACGAATGCAAGATATAAAAAAAGATCTGAACCATAAATCATATAGAAGGTTGTTTTTTCAAAAAAAAAAAAAAAGAGGTATGAAAGAGGAGACGGAAGAAGCAGTTTAGACCATTGATGGAAAAGGGAGATAAGAGTAAGATGCGTATTATTACTGTTGCATGTCTTGTTGTCTACTGTTAGTTGATACCCTGGACGGCAGCGACACTCGTAGCCATCAGGCAGGTTAGCACAGATGTGTTGACAGCCGTGATCCACCACAGCACATGTATCCTCAGCTACAGAGGGACAGCATGGAGAAAATATTTACAGCTCAATGTACAAATGAAAAACTGCCGTAGCTGGCTGTTTTGAGCTGTTTGGAGACAATAGAAATGAGCTGTAAACACAGTTAGATATTGTTTGTTACATTTTTAGCTGAAATGACAAACTTGTGAGCAAACAGTTGGACATTCACATATCCACATACACAGTGCAATATTAGCATTTATTTGGACTCGAGTCGTAATCTACTTAGTGAATTTAAGTCCAACATTTCATCTCTCTTTAACTGTTCTTCAGTCTCTACCGGAAAAAACAAAACTGTGTTTTCTTTAGTAGCTAAATGCTCCACTGTGCTCACCAGCAAAGTGCTAAGGCATTTTTAGTGAATCTTTTTCTTTTTGTTTCTTTGTAGTCACACTGTGAAAATGAAACACAATATTAGTGGGCCACAAGACCAAAACAATGACCTGAAAAACATTAAAATTTTTCATAGAACTGTTGGGGATTGCAGAGTCAGGTGATATTTATCTTTGTATCCATCTCTAAAAGCAAAGCCTTCACAAACAAGTGGTCATGTAATCTGCTGTAGATATTAAAATATTGACTATGGCCCTTTTAGTGTACTAGCAGATGATCTACAATCTCTTCTGCCAAAAATTAATACATTCAAAATGTTTTCTGGGGGACAGTGAAGCTGTTCAGTGAAAAAAGAGGTCTGGGCATGAAAACTGAGCACATGTGAAAGCTGGAAAAGAACTTTTAAAAAGAACAGATAAAAAAAGAGAGATCTTTCACCTTTACACGTCTTGCCGTCAGGGTTGAGGGTGAATCCTTTCCTACACTTGCACCTGTATGAGGCAGGGCTACTCACGCAGATATGCTGACACTGATGGTCCACCACGTCACACATCTCTGCATCTAATGTGTGCATGAACATTCACAAACAGACACACTCAAGAACAGGTCTTCAAACACACATGCATTCAATATTAAAGATAGACTGAAAGATGAACACTGGAATAAAAACATATGGGATTCATCACCTCCACACAGTTTGGACTGGAACACTGAGATCAGCGTTTCTATCTGGCTGAAGTTGGCCACCAGGTGCACATGCTCAGAGTGTGGCTCACTTCCTATGGCCTTCAGGGTGTTCATATCCACCCTGCCCACTCCAATAGCAAAGATCTGGATGCCAGCCCGTCTCGCCTGAGCTGCAACCTCCTCCACCGTGTCCTGAGGTCTCCCATCAGTCACAATCATTGCAATACGTGGGATGTGCATGCTCTTCGGTCGGGCTCCCTGCTCCTCGGTGAAGGCTGTCTCCATGGTGTACTGGATGGCCAGACCCGTCATGGTCCCTGTGGCGAGGTGCTCCATGTTCCTCACCGCCTGCTCCACCTCGGCCTTCTTGGTATAGGTGTTGAGGGAGAACTCGGGCTGGACCACGCTGCCGTACTGGAGCAGACCCACGCGTGTCGCATCACTGCCGACTTCGAGGAACTGGAGCAGGTTGATTATGAAAGTCTTGACCTTCTCGTAGTCGTTGGGACGGATGCTTCTGGAGCTGTCAATGACAAAGAAGAAATCCAGCGGGATGGCTTTACAGGCATTCTCTGAAATCAGAAACATAAAGAAAATTTGTGGTGAGGTTTGATGAAAACTGGCAAAACTGGTAAAACAGACATACACATGCCTTCTTGTACAAACTAATCACTCACCCAATGCTTTGGTTTGGACAGTAGACTCATTTTGCCTTCTGGCTGTGATGGGTTTGGGACGGCGCCTGTCCAGCCGCACTGCGTCACAGCACAACAGGCAGAAGAGGCCAAGGGCCAAGGACCTCATTCTGATGAGTGGCAACAACTGCAGCCTTGATAGAGACACAAAAACAAGAGCTGATATGGTAGAAACACTCCCACAATGCCATGCAAGCAGAGTCCAAGCCTTCGTGAGAGCAGAGAGAGAGACAGCCAGCGAGGAATGGAACTGCTGAAAAGAGAACATGTGTTTTTCATATTCATATCTGGAAAACGGAAAACCAAATGTGCATCATAAACACAATGACACACTAAACACCTGTATGGCTGGTTGTGGTTGGTCAGGATTGGGATTATTAAGATTTTCAACAGGGACAAATTGGAAATGTCACGTGGGCCTAACTGATAAGTAATGATATACTGTCTATTGCACCATTATTCAGAGCAGTTGTCATTAAACATGTCATATTTGACATAAACATGTGGATCAAAAAACAAAACTTTCATGTTCTAACTTTAGTAAAGGTTGGTTGAAATGTTTAGAAAGTATTGAAAAGAGGAATCTCTTAGGTAAAAAAAAAAAAAAAGAAAAAGAATTCCTCTTGAACCAAGGAATCCAACAACAAGAGTTGTGCTTCGGTACCTCCTGCTTACATGCTTTGTGTTTTACAAATCACCACATGCATCCACACACTACACCAAATAATTCTTCTTAAGCTTTCCAGTGAATGTTGCTAAAATTTGCTGATTGTTTTTTGAGATATCTTGCTAACTAGCAGTAAAACAACTACCTCCTCTTTGCTGTAGGCAACAATTTTAGTGACTCCGTGTCACTTGGGTAAGTAGTGAAGTGCTACATTCAAGTTAATGATGAGGAAGGATATAAATAGGGAGAACTTTCACCTCGTGCATATTTGACCTGCCTGGCTTCAGATTTCACATTTTAGTGTGTATAGGTGTAATGCACTTAGTTTTGCATATGGAAGAGCACATTTCAAATTTCAAATTAATTTGTATGTATAAAATGTTCATCTATTGATTTATGACAGCAGTCTACACAGGACTGTATGTCTGAACAAGCGTGGGCTCCACTGGAGGGTCATGTTTTCCCATTTGCCTTCATATGAAGTTGACCAACTCCATATGAATGAGTTTTTGGGTGTTTTGCTGCATAGGTGGTTTGAAGTGATTTAAGAGAGACTGAAAACTACCACAGGCTGTTTCTCTATCCAGTCCCCAGGAGAGCCATTCATTACCTGTCATATTCAGACTACAGGCTCTGCTGCTGTCTTAAACATGATCTGTGAACAGTGAAATACATCCACATTCAAAAACAGCATGACGTGGCATTTGTCATACAGGGCAAAGCTTAGCTCTAAGGCAAAACATAAGCTGCTAGAACTTGTAGATTTCTAAATGGAGTTCTGCTCAGCTCTCTGAGGGCGATGACACTGACTCAGGGCTCAGTCTGTTCTCAGCTCAGGCAGATGAACGATCCCACACAGATCTGTATACGGTAGCTGCTGACCTGAGACCTACAGGGGTCACATATCCATGTTGCATCCCACATGGGGAGACCGACCTCTGAACTCACATCTGTTTGATGTCTCTCTGCAGCAGTCATGACAGTTTTTCTTCATCAGCTATCAGTCAGAGTAACAAATGGAAAATCCTTTCATTTGCTACCAATGTCCAACCTGTTGCACAGTAGTCTTAAATGTTCCTTCACTGGCATGTGTCAGCAGATGATGAAATAACATGATAAATTATGATAAATGACTGATCAAAAAGTTTCTTTTAGACTTTCATAAAATCACTGTTTGATATTGGAGCATTTTCTTGAATTGCCTGTCTGGCTTCATTTGCGTTATTCCATTACAGAGGATCACCACTCATATTTCCTCATGAGCTAAAGCCAACATTGTCTGTTTACTATGTAAGGCAAAACAGTGTGTACTGAAAATCATTTATGGGATATCTGTTTTACACATTCCCCATCTTTGATGGCTTTTCATGATGCAGGTAAAAGAACCTAACATGTGTCCCAACTTAAGTAAATACACAACAGGTGACTGATGGGGATTCCTCTTCTTGCCATGCTTTTAAAAGGAAAGAAAAGCTGTTAGTTCCTCAAAACAATTTTTTTTTTAAGTCATTGTAAGCATGACAACAAAGCCTACAGTTTTCTAGTGTTAAAAGACATTATCATTTTTAGGATAACAAATTAAAATCTACTCACCTTTTAAACAAAAATGCCAATTTCCCACACTGCGAACCAAGTCTCAGGAAATCCCAGCACTGATTCCAGAGAGAAGCGTCAGGCAGGAAAAATCTGTCAATGTAGTAGCTCCACGTTTTAATTTAACATATATTCCAGACCTGTCTTTCTGTATCTGTGCAGGCTCTTGCATTGCTCAGCCCCTTTACTCCATCCACTCTGTTTGTCTGTATACTCCCCCTCTGACTTTGGAGACGCCTCTTGTTCAGCTCAGTCTGCTGGTAAAACAATAACTATGCATTTCAATCACACTCGTGTTTTTTTACTCATATTTATTCCAGATAAATAGAGCAAAACCCAACATTTTACATGCTGAAACCCATTTAAACATTGTAGACTAGGATTGAAATAGATAAATCATATATATTTTGTTATTACATTAAAATTTTAAAGGTTTAAGGCCTTCATTAAAAGTGTATTTCTGCAGCCTGCCTACTCTGCTGGCAAATTATGAGACATCTAAGTCAAGCAAACTAGTAAATGAGCTGGTATGAAGCCAAGATGTCAGGGAGGTGACAAATTTGAAGTCTAATGTAGGTTTTATGGCTCAACACTCTTGCAGGTCATAACTCCTGTGAAAGAGGTGTATTGTAATTTTACAAGTGATGCTTGGATGAACTCTCCACATCCCCAGTTGAACAGCAGTTTATGGAAAGACCTTGTAAGTGGAGTCATCATACTTCCAAACACTGTGGGGTAACCTGCCTGCCACACAATGAACACATTTATACACTTCTCACTGCAAAGAGTTTCCAGGAGCACATCTGCCACTGAAGATGAAGAGTCACTCTAAATTACAGAAGAAAATCAGAGACATAGTCATTCTGAATAGTTGGTTGATAATGACTTGCTCAGCTGAAATAATATATCTGATTGCTGAAACAAGTTTTAACATTTAGGTTTAGAAACTTCACTGTCAAAATAAAACACACAACATGTATCAATGACATTTGTTTTTAATAGCCAAATAAATGTGACATCTTTATTCTTCATACAGCAGTGGTCCTCAGGTTTGACTTTTGTGTCCTTGCAGGACATTTTTTGTCCAGGGAGCAGCTTGCCAATAACTGCATCTGGTGGAACAGACTCGTATAGTGTTTACACAGACCAGAAAGCTCCTATTGGTTTAATTGAAAAAACACAACCAGGGTCCATATTTATTAAGCTCCAGGTCCCCCCCACCCCACCCCACCCCCCTCCCCCGAGCAACTCATTCATAGTTTCCTCAAAGAGCAAACTGATTCCAGATCAGTTCTTATGTGCTGTCAAAATAGATAAATAGCAGCCCAAGACATTTCTCGTCAGTCAGTAGAAACACGCAATTACATTTAAAAGTTATAAATAGCCAGCCAGTACGATTCGACACTCCTGATTTTACACACGAGACAGTTCTGTCTGCAGTTGAATTAAACAGTAAAACAAGGTGATATGTTCGATATACACTAGGTTGCTCTTTGATCATGTCAGAATACAGGCAGATGCATTTCTTTGGGAAACTTCCAGTCAAGGTGACACTTCACACATGGGTCTATAAAGTGCTCCCCAGCAGAGAGAAAGTTATGAATGAAGGCAATCCAACCCTGATCGCGAGCAGAGACAAGACAAACAGGTAACACAAGATGACCCCTCACTCATCGTTTTTGCATTTGTGCATAAGATAAATATGTCTATCAAAGTTTGGGCCCACAGAACACTATCACAGATACACAGAGAGCATAAATACAATTAATAAAAAATATATATCATCTATCAAACTTTCTAGTGCTTTCGCCCAGATTCAAATGCATAAAAATGCACCTCATTTCTGGATACTATGAGAGACAGAACAGACACATGGAAGAGTTACAGGAGAAACAGGACTTCAACAGGGAGGAACGAGAGGTCACGGTGGTGGTACTGGTGTGTGTGCACATGTGTGTTCGATGCTTTGTGTACATGTGCATGCATGGGTGTACTGTAATGTGTGTGTAGCTACAATTTATCCATGAATATACTGTACACTGGAGAGGCAGTGTGGTGCATAAGTTTTGGGGTCTTATTGACAGCAGGGTGCAGTCAGCAGGATCCTGGGAATGTTTTCAGGCTGTAGCAGTGGTGTAGGGCGGAGGAGCCTGCTTGGGAGGGACGCTGACGCTGTCATCATACGGTGGTAGCAGCACCTGGAGATAAGAGAAAAACAGGGGAAAAAACGTTTCTGGTTAATGTTGCTCTTTCATTCCAAAATGAATAGCATGAAAATCAATGTCAAATCTCGCACAGTGTATGAGCATGTTTTTGTTGCATAATATGAAACCAGCTTTGGAGTAATTTCAAATTAAAGAATTAAACTATAAAAACTGTACTTTGGATTAAGTGAAATATTTGGAAGCTCAGAGAAAACAAATGCCACAGAAACCAATATTTGTTCCTAATAAACAGGCTAAACTGCAGGATTCCAGCTAAATATGATTATGCAACATGTAAAATGAAAGTATGTAAGGAGTGTTTGGCAGGAAGCACTGTGGCTAAAACATCAGAATAAATATCACAAATAAAATGCTAAAAAAGGTTGTGTAGATTAGATTTACTGGAGTCAACAGCCATGCTAGCAGTTGGCTGTCCTTGGCACAGTAGGGCTCTGGAGCGCGGCAGGCAGGTAACCCCAGAGTGGCTAAATGCTAACATGCTAACTGACAGTTCTAACATGCTGATGTTTAGCAGGTACATCGACCATGTTCAGCATCTGAGTTCAGTGTGCTAGCATGTTTACGTTGGCCAATTAGCAATAAACACAAAGCACTGGCTTGATGCAATTAGTACATTTACTAAAATAATGTCTAATTTTGCTGCACTTTACTTCAATATTTTCTACTTTCCACTGATCAGTCCCAACATTAAAACCACCACCAGATGAGGTGAATATCTGCAACCCTCTGCTTGGAACTCTTGGCTCTTGGCCTCAATGTGGATGTGACTTTAACATGTCTATACGCCTAAATGCAAACCAAGCCTCTCCACCATAGCAGCATTACTCCCTGACAGTGGAGGAATTTCCCCAGCAGGACAATGCACCCACCACACCACTGCCTGGGAATGGCTGGAAGAACACAACAAAAAGTCCAAGGTGGTGACCCGTCTTCCAACCCTGCTAGATCCTAATGTGATTGAACATTTGCAGAATGGACCAAAACAAGTCCAATCATTGGATGTCACACCCTGCAACCCACAGAACCCAAAAGATCCACATCCAGTGTCCTGGTGCCAGGCACAGACAGGCAACCGATAGAGGTTCCATCTCCACACCCCAACAGGTTAGAGCCATTTTAGTGGCACAAAGGGGACCTACACTGGAGTAGGTGTGTGGTTGTCTTTGAGCTTTTTAGATCGTGATTTATGTAGAACAAATATATCATGATACACCTGATGATGGTGCAAAATGAAAGGTCAGGGGATCACCAAAGTTGAAATTCATCTGAAGGGAGATATGAATATAAGTGGCAAATTTAAGGGCAAACCTATCAATGAACAGTCCGGTGCTGATGAACTGAAGCTGAACAAAGCAGCTCAATATGATCAACTGACTGATCAGAAATGTATTTTAGACCTTAGCCATATCTAGTCAATGTGTTAGAACGTTTAAAAAAAGGGAGCGCAGTGAAGTACATTGAGGTAATGTCCTGAATAGCGTGGGTGATGGACAAGAACCAGGACAGTATGTCATGTCAAAAAGCAAAACAGATGTGAGCGTCCAGATTTAGTTTCAAAGCTGTATGCCGATAACTAGAGTGGGCAGATTTACTTATTCGTCTTCTATAATTCATCACTCACACTGAAAGTAAAAGTAGGCTAAGTGGTGAGTTCAGCTAAAAGAAGCTGATGGCTGTGTGCATCACAGAAGTCACAGTTGAGTTGGACAGATGTCTCTGCTCAGTGCAGACTTGATAGATGATCAGATCTAGAATTTAAATAGGTTTGCTATGTCAAAACTGCTCCCACATATTTACAGGCATTTCTTTCTAAAACGTGTAAAACTAAGCTCCCTCTCTGCTCCATATTCACGAGCACGAGAGGCTGTGTGGAGTCAGAACATCTTAGGTATGACTCCACACTCATTCTGGTTTTGCTGTTGACAACAGCATGGCAAACAGAAATGTAGGCTCCTTCAGTGGTTCACTGGGTTTTATATACAACAACACCATGTGTCTGACCTGTGTGTCCCGTGTTTTAAACAATGAGCCATTGAGGGTTTCAGTCAATACAGACAGGGAAGTCCTGCCTTCGTGACAATAAATCTTACTAATCTTTAGAGAAGGTATGAAGTAATTACGGAATTAGGTAATAAACTCTCCCTTGGGTACTAGATAGCCCCATATGAATCACTGCCCACTAGAACTGTGTGCTTGTAATAGACTGAAACAACAAAACTTACATTAATGATAAAATACTGTCATAACTAAACCTCTATATAGTATGCTTTTCTTCCCCTCAGAACAAGCCTTTTCATTGTTCTCTGTTCACTTAATCTACCAATGTTGGGAAATTGAAAATGCATGAACATGTTGTTGGATCTATGCTGATATGCTTCTGTTTTTTGTTGTTGTTTTTTTTACATAACATAATCCATCAAACAAGATCCATCCATCCATCCATTATCTATACACCGCTTAATCCTCACTGGGGTCGCAGGGGGGCTGGAGCCTATCCCAGCTGACTCAGGGTGAAGGCAGGGGACACCCTGGACAGGTCCCACTATATGATTAACAATTCTCTCAGCACTGTCTGCAGCGTGTGCAGCAGAGCACATATGACAGCTAAGCAGCTAAGGAGTCAAGCGGTGTCTTCACAGTATGTTACTCACTAGTTAGTGAAATACATTGCTGGAAAGTTAACAAAACACTTGCCCCTCATTTTCCCTTTTCAATTTATACACACATAAAGAACATTGACTAATATATGAGTATCTGAACTTTTTACTCTATAAAAATTGGTATTAGCATTAGGCCTGAAAATTCCAGTATTGAACAAGCTATAGTTACATTTGTCAGATTCATTCCTGATTCCTCACTTTCAAATTCTTTAATTCTGCAAAAGTGACATGAAAATGATGAAACAATAATGAAAATGCAAACATTAAAGCACAAGTCTAACCACTGTATTGCTTATTTAAGGATGATTTTGGCATTTAATCTGTTCTAGGGTTGTGTTTACCTCTGTGTTTTCTATGATTCATCAGCTGGTGAAGATGATGACTTTTTACTGGCGATCTGAAGCTTGAGCTTTATTCATTCAGCGTTGTGTCAGTTATATTGGCTTCATGTGCACATTTAAGATAATTTCGCAGACTTTGCATTAAAAAATGAGTCAGGTGGAAAAAATAAATAGTCAGCTGGATAGTTTTCAACTATCTTATGGAGAGTTAGCATTAGCATGAGCTGGTCTTAGTTACATACAACTCAATATCTGCCCACCACACTTGTTATTTCATTTCAGGTGACAACATACATGGTTGTAACGAAAAGACTGATGTTTAATAACAAGCATACAGGCAGTATCTTAAAGAAGTGGGGCTTAGCAATAAGTTAAGACATCATCAACCCGTAGCACTTTGCATATTTTCTTCTATGAGGCATGTTAAGCGTTACTTATTGCTCTTTTAATGCCAAATAATGCATCTGACTGTGTGAGTGTTAATGACTTTTCTGTGTGGAATTCCACTCACATGGAATGCATTATGGGACCTTTGACCGAACCACTGTATAAATAATGTAAAGTCATGCGAACTGCTAACCAAAAGCCACAAACCTGCTGTGCAGTCTGTGGGGAGCTCTAATTGAACACGTCAGGCTCTAATTGAAAAAACACACCTGCAGAGGTGAGGCTGATGTTAGGAAATAAAGGGTCAGTCTGCTTTTTTTCTGGCACTTTACACTCATGATGTCAGTGAGCTGGAGATCAGTCTCCTGTGTGTCTCTCTTTACAGCTCAGGTGTTTTACACATCAGACGCCTGCAGACGGCCCAAAACATTGCATGTAGCCCCACAGTGTGTAAAGCTGTCGAGTGTTGCTTCAAATTGTGTGGAATGTTACACTCAGAGGAGCCTTAAGCTGCAAAAAATACCTGTGAAACCCAACATACTACAAGGTCACATATCAGTCTTAATGGAGCCAGAAAACCACATTTTACAATAGTCAAAACAGGTCATCAGTGTTTAAAAGCCTCTTTTTTTCCCCCTCCCATCTGTCAAAGTGTAAGTAGTTATAATATGTGTGTGGGCAGTGGGGTAGCAGCGGTCAGGGGGCCAGATCTGGCAACAGGACACCAGCAGGAGGCCCAGAAACAGCCTGACAGAGCTCACTTACTGTACCAGCACTAAGCCTCAGCCACCATGCTAATGGCTTTGCCAGCATGGAGCCTCATGTCTCCATCCAAGACTGTTCATCCACCCATGCAACAGTAGTCTTTGTAAAACTAGCTGCTGCAACAGCTCAGTTTTATACTTCCTTCCTCCCATCAACATGACGACTTTACGTTTGCCAGACTGGCCTGAGCAGAGGAAACCTACACAGACAAGAAAAACGTGACTAGCGGTCTGGATTGAATGAGGAAATCATTTTTCCACAGAAGTTGTTTTGTTGCCTTTGGAAGTGGAAGAAAGAAGAAAATCAAGATCAGATATTGCTTCATGTTGGATCTCTATCTGACGATGTCGACATAAATTATGTGTGTGTGAAACATTGTCAGAGTTTCAAAGATATTTTTCATACATTTCATTAATATCTTCTGACCTGTAAATCATTTGTTTTGCTTGTTGGACATTTTAATCTGTTGTGGAAATCTGCCTCTCACAGTTAATGCCGACAAAAGTATTTGTACAGCTGCACATGGGGAATGTCTGTATTATTAATGTCGAAGTGAGAGCGCTCAGACGTTTGTAACAGCTCATTGGAAAATGTGATTAACATTCACACAGGTGGTCTGAAAGCAGAAAATATGTGAGTAGAAAATTTGTTTTTTCACAATTTTTTTTTGCCATTCTTTTATGACGACAAAGCTGAACCAATATACAGAGCATGGCACAGCCCAGTGTCAATGTTCTTCCATGTTCTCTCTAAACGATAAGTCTGCTGATACTATACTAAATCCCATGAAAAGACCAAAATCAACAATCAAATGATGCTATTAGCTAGGATCATCTGTTTAGCCAGAGCCTGATGTATCGTCTTCCTCTGGACCATTAAAACATGTCAGTGAGCCTCACTGTTGTGCTGGTTGATACGAATTACCATGAATCTCCACACTGTCAGTCATTTTGGCTCAGTCCCACATACAGTGTAAATCCTCAATGGTGGACCAAAAAGTTGATTAAGTCTGAGCTGAAAATGGGCCGTAATACTCCTGTTAAAAAAGCAACACTGTCCAGTTCATTTCAGAATTAACTCGGCTTTTTAAAATATATTTTTTGCCACTATGAATGGATGGGCTTGGTTGTAAGTGCTACAGAAAGCTTATCTGTGGCACGTAGCCCTAAGCCCATTCATTCTAAGGGAAAGCAGATTACAGATCGCCAGAGGTAACTCACCGTGGTGTCATTGGTTGTAACGTAGAGCAGGATTTCAGAACCTCCACGGCCGCTCACATATCTGTAGCAGTTCCACACACATGCTATCAGGTAGGCCTGATATCAGACAGAGAGAAAACAAAAACACAAATTAGAGGCACTGACAATAATATTTAATACAATCATAAATACTCTTAAGGTAGTGGTAAATCATATAAATATGTTCAATAATTCTCAGTAAGCAAATTTGTCTTCATATGATGACACACAAATTCCCCTCTTAAGATTTATTGTCCAAATTTTTGCATTTTCTTTATTTCTATTTATTGCCATGATTAGATCAAAAAATTAATTTTCTCAGCCCTTTGGGTTTGTGAATAAATATCCATGAACATTCCAATCTTCATCAGTTGTGTTTTGTCTTTTGAGCTTAGCATGCTAACAGATAAAATGTGAAGCACTGGTTAACACTCATTACTGTACAAGTGCTAAAGAGCATATCAGCAACAGTGTCATTCTGATCATGTTACCAGGCCCAAAGCAGCACTGTGCCTACAGTAAGTGTGGCCTCACAGAAGTAGACTCTTAGGCTCATTATATTACATGAAACTCTCAAATTTTTAAGCAGTACCTTTTTACAACAAGCAGCTTTTTCTTTTTACTATGCAAATGTATGTGCAAAGGTGTCCCAAAATATAATGAGGACACCTCAGTGTATTTTCTGCACCCTCAAATTGTATCATGGCAACAAAGTCCATTAAAGGCTGTAATAAAATTGTGTTATTAAAAGAAACTGACTTTTCTGTTGACTTCAGACTCTGTTTTCAGGTTTGGTCTAATGGTTGTACATCACTTAATAGAGGCGAAAAAACAAGCTCCTGTTGTTCCCTGTTATCCTGGAATCATCTGGCTCTCAGCAGGCAGTTTGCTACTGGAACGCTACGGCCAAACACAACACCATCTGCTACATCCATCCACTAGCAGGAGCCAAAGCCAGACTGAGCTCTCTAACTTCTATAAAAATCCAATTAAGAAGCCACTTTAATGCTCTGACAGCTCTGCTATATTAAGTGCCTCCACAGGAATTTGCACAGATCCATTTCCTGCAACAGAGATCACTCAATTTACTTCACAGTCTAACTGAAAAACGATACTGACAGGGTGATAATGATGCTGATTGTGCAAAGCAAATTGCTTCATCAGTTAGAAGGGACTGAGACACCTTAGCTAGTAAAAAAAAATAAAAAATCAGTGGAGTACATGGTGTTTGCAATCTAAAAAGTCCAAAATCTATTATCAAGTGCTGCTATTAAGTTGCATTTTGTCTTATAATCAGACTAAACTGTGGCTATTACAAAATACAAGTGCTTTTGGTTGTCAGCTAAATTCTGCAGTTACACAATGCAAACCCCATTCAAATGATAAAGCTAATGTTTATGCGAGGCTGTATTTTAGTACAGTGATGATATTGTGCGGTAAACGCTAACACCAGTACACTGAGACTGTGAGATTCAAACTTACTTGTTGTTAGTCCTGCATTATGTCTACCTTTATTCAGCGTTATGTTTCTGTTTTATGTCTCTAAAACTTTGTGTAACTTGCTGTTAAAAAGTGCTGTATCTATTGGTATTTCTATTATTAAATTCACCATTTAAGGTTTGTGTTTTAGCATGCTGACTCGTGATCATTAGCAGCAAATACAAAATACAACTATGTCTGATGGGATTGCCAATAATTTAGCAGGTGTCTGGTTACAAGCAAAGTACTGGGCAAATTAAAATTTAACCTGGGGATGGTGTTAGATGTAGAGGTTGGGAATTAACAAAGTCAGTGGGATTTGTGTTGTGTATTTCCCATAATTGCCACAGTGCCAAAAAGACTATTAAGACTGTATAAAGGGTACATCATGGCTCACTGGGACACCCATGGATTAAGAAGGACATGTTTTTATTCCTGCTCCGATGATTTGGTAGAACAAATAGGTAGGATCAAGCATTGCATTTGCAGAGGGGTGACCAATTGTCCAGGAACCATGAATGTGATAGCCAAAATTCATGGAAACTCAGTTAGTCCAGTAGTTGAGATCTGATCATTACCACCCACAAAAACATGATGGTAATGTGGCTAAAAAAATAAACACAAATGACCAAGCAGTAACACGAAGAAAGTTGCCACAGTAAAAATATATCTTTCCAGGAAAGTGGAAAAGCCAAAATTCTATTATAACTATTCTGCTATTACACGATGAGGGATCGGGAGTTGTTCAGCCTCTTAAACTCTGATATAAAAATGATCAAATAAATAATGTCTGAATTCCATTTAGCTGCTTTCAGGCCCTGGTATTATGCATGCTGGCTGAGCTGAATAGAGCCCTTGTTAATGTTGGAAATGTCATGTAGCTCATTATTTGTGCTTTTCCTACTGTAATAAGCCAAAAACGACATCTCTTTGGGCTACCATAAAAACAAACCAAATAAAAAACTTAAAGACAATAATAATGATCATCATAAAAGCTGCTAAGCATATGCCAAAAGCATGTAAAATTACCTTGAAGCCAAGAATACAGCCGATGAAGAGCAGCACGATGAGGACCAAGCACACGCTGCTGAGGGCAGCGACCTCCTCTTTGTAGGGGAAGTTATCAGGCTGCACAGGAGGCAAAAAAAACAAAGTCAATGAGCAGCAGACAGTTCATGTGAGGCTACAGGAGCACCAGTCATTAGGCAGCAGAGGCAGCTGTGGCATCCACACTGACAGGTGCAACGACACAAGTTAAATGCTTGAAAAAGCCTTTGTGAACCACCGAGAAGTTCTGCCAACTGGTGTCACACTGAGGTTTCTTACCAGTTGTTGCAGGTAGTCCTGTATTGTGTTTGGGTAAACCACAATGCTAACAGCCACCAGGGTGTTGAGAGCAAAGTCGAATATTTGGTAGCAGAAAAAGGGGATAATCCAGGCCGCACGCAGCTGAAACAAAGACGTGTATTTTAGGTATTATGGATGGACTGACATATTTATCTGAGGTCAGAGAATCAAGGTCTTTAAAAAAAAAAAAAAAAAAAGTGAACATAAATCAGAGTTAGAACTGGATCGCAGGGAGATTACAGTGTATTTGAAATCAGGAGGCATGGTATTTGGATTTGTTAAGTTTTGCAAGGCTGTAAACATAAATGTATCGTATGTGCATGGAGAAGCAACATTGTCAGTGTTTTTAACTGTTTGGAAACCATTTATGTGATGGAAATCAACATTTGAAGGTTCTCCAAAGTGCAAAAGTGAAAAAGAAACATTTTCTTTACCTTGTACGCACCATACGTTGCCATCCCACAGATCAGTATCATCAGCAGTGAGATGGCTGAGGCGATGCACATGTCTGGAGCAACAAAAGAAGACACCTTCAAATTACAAACTATACATCTCTTGGTTTTCACCCTTATTTCAGTCAGCATGACGTCACTTAGGCTGATGCAAATTAAGTTCTACAAGACAATCCTGAAAATCTTCATGATATCATGTTGAGTTGATCTGGGGAAAATAAACTTTATACAGAAGAAAAAAATGGCATGCTGCATCTGTCAACCACAAGAAGGATTTAACTTCTACTCAGTGATTCGCTTCATGTCAACCTGACCTCAAATCAACTCAACATAACAGAACAGCACTAATCATACTGTTACATAAGGACAGGACAGGATGGGGCAAAACCAAAATACATGTGGCACGACCAAGAAAAATAGTCACCAAGCCATGTCAAAAAGCCATGTACGCTATATTTCATTATGAACTGACAATTAAAATTTTGCAGCTTTGAATCACAGGATGAATCACATTTTGACTCATAAAATGGGTTGAAAGTGTAGAAAGGCAATATGTCAGTTGTTCCTAGAGTTTCATTTTGCTAAATGCCAGAAGTGCTGACAGAATCAGACCTTGGGAAAATCAGACATAAAAAAGAAAATCCTCAAAAGTCAATCGAAGGACTAATGTTCAAGATTGAAGCAGAGTATATTATTCACAATTACAGTTTCATTTAGTAAATTTGAGTCGACTATTCACCTTGTTTTTGGTTTCTTCCAAATGAGGGAGATTTTTGTCTTTAAAACTGATAAAGTCTACACTACATATGTTCATGAGCTAATCTGTAACTTTGCTTTTCTGCCATTTGGTGCTGGGCCACAGACCGTATGTAGAAGATGAATGTAGTGACCTTGACATCACCCAATGGTTTATAGATTCATTTTGAGGGTTTAAGTTTGTAGTTTGAAGATTGTCACCTTCATCTTTTATAACCGGGCATGACAAGCTGGTATCTGACTGAGAATGTGAGGACACTATGCACATCCTGTATTTATTGTCTTTTTTATTGTAAATGGGACCTTTATTTACAAAAGTCATGTCAAGCCATGTTCAAAAAGATTTGAAACTAGTGGCTGAGACCATAAACTCATTAGGAAAATGCAAAAAAAATCAAGCGAGAAGTAGAACCATTTTGTCATATACTTCTATGCAATTAAACTACTTTTGGCAACCAGAGGAGTCGCCTCCTGCTGGCCACTAAAAAGAACACAGGTTTGTGGCATTTATTCACTAGCTGTGAGGATGTACAAGACCGGAAGCAGGGAAAGAGCCCAAAGCTGGTAATTATTAGGATTTTAGAAACACTGGCAGCATATTTATGAATTTTGGGAAAAGACAAGGTAACTGTTAGGCACTGCTTCCAGTCCTGATGGTAGCAAAGGTATGATAATCACCTTCCAACTCCAGTTCTGTAGTGAATACAAAGATTTGCAAATAATAGTTCTCTCATCAAGCTTGTTTTCCAAAATATAATTTAAAACAAAGTTTGATCAATGTGATGCAGGGCAAGAAAGTTAATCATTTGTTCCTGTCGTGTTCACCATCAAAAATAAAAGAGCTCACGCTAATAAAGTAGAAAAAGCAGAGTGCTGGTCATTGTCGCATTGGTTTAATTGTTCATCTTTCTTATGGGTTGACTTGTTTTGAGCAAATGCACCAAAAATAATGGCTACAGTTATTTGGTTGGAAAAAAAAATCTATTCCATTTATTACTGAGTGGGACTAGCAGAATGTTTTCCACCCACTTGGGGTAACAGTCAGACAAATAACTCCCAAAAACTCTCACTACAGCTTGTTGTTAAATCTGAAACAGAGAAAATTGCTGAAATAAATGAACCACGCTGTTGTGTCCTTGCTCTTATGTCTGTGTTTCTAGTGCAGGGGTGGCACCAGCTTGCCCAAGTTGTGCTAATGAATCATAGCACGCCCTAATCCTCTGGAACTGGGACAAAACAGTCATTCCCAATCAGAGACGACCAGTGCCATGTGCTGCAGGCCACCACCAGTCAGAGAGCTCCAGCATATGCCCGGTTTGTTAAGAAGGCTTTTCCAATGCTCTGCACAGATGGACATCAGGCTTGTACAGCTGTGGCTGTGGGTGTTTCATTAATACAGGAGTGCTGACTGTTGTCTAGACCTGGACCTTCATGTGTGAGGTCCCTTTAATAACACAATAATAACACAATAAATCATTCTATTAGTCAGCTGACAGCCCTGTTGAGCCTATCATCGCTCAAGCAAGAGTTAAAGTCATCCATCACGGTCCGCTGTGGATCTGGTTTCAGGCAGAACACCACAGAGCCCAGAACTGAATGCTAACAAGCCCAAGGAAGTGTAATTATTTGCAACAGGACTGGAATATAAAAATCCTTAACAATTCAGCTGTTAGTGGTGCCCTCTGTGTGCTACTTTATAGCTTTGCAAGGTGATTTATGGGACATTTATTGTAAAGCACTGGCCCCCGTGGGCTACTTACTGGCATCATCCATGACATCCAGGTCATTAGCCAACTCGGCGCTGGTCAGGTGGTACTGCTCAGGATCACTGAGCGCCGTGAGCAGGATGAGTAACACCACAGCATTGATGAGCTTAAGGACAGAGAACATATGGGAAGATAAAGGCAACAACACGGACAGATGGGCAGGAGCAAAGTGGAACAGTTAAAATTGAAAATGGCATTTAAAGCTCTTTAAATCTGTCACCTGACACAATAGATTCATCTACAGGGTACAAGGGATGCTGACCGTCGTATACGTCCTCTAATTATTCATAAGCATAAGTAGAAACAGGAGGCACCCAAAAATGATCAATAAACCATAGCTTGGAGATACAGTAGCCATGTTAAATTACACACATACAGTAACAGCTCGACATGAGTCTTTGTTTTGGTGTGGCAGGCGCAGCTCATTATGCAGATGACTCATACATCCCCATTGATTAGGTGAATGTAATGGAAAATTCTCCGCAGTCAATAGGCAGCCTGACACAAAAACCTGCTACCTGAAGAGGCCCGCTGCTAATTTATTCATTGGGAGCACGGAGAGGATTTTTCCACATGTGGTGTTTGGTTTGTTTAACCCTGTATCTCCTGTACATTCAGCCTGACACACTGGTGCATTCAACTGGACTCACAATAAATCCACAAGAATTTATGAGCACAAAACAAAGGAGACAGATATTTACCATCCCTAAGTTTACATCTATAAAAACGTTTTTGTTTTTCTTTTAATGTCCACAATCTGAAAATGTAAGAATATATATTTAATTACATGAATGAGGATAAAGTCACCTTTAACAGTGCCATGTTTATATGCAGATCCCTGCTTTACAGGCATCTGCAAGTCAAGTATATAGTTAATAACTTAGAGGTAAAGTCTTCTGAGATCTTTTTTAGTCAAGACAATAAGAAAAATAACTCAATCCTACTCTGAAAGTAAGAATTTGGGGGTCGGTAATAACTACAGTCTAAAATCCTGCATGCATGCAACACCTGTGATCAGGTGGTGTTTTCTCTGCTGCTGCTGCTGCTGCTGTTGTTTCAGGACGCCTGCATGGACGCAATGAGTGGCGGATCGGCGGTGCTCACCATGTACCAGACCCCCAAGATGATGGTTCCGGTGCGGACATGGCAGCACAGGCAGCAGCTGGTGGAGTACCAGCGGTCCCACGGGGAAAGCATCGTCTTGTCAGGGAACATTTGGAAAACAACGTCGCCGTTCGCAAACAAGGAGTCCCCGCTGTCTTCTCAACGTCCGCTGAGCGACGGTCCTGACCGATGAATGACGAACAGGATCCGACTGCCTCTGACCTGTCCGTTAATCACCGACCGGAGCCGCTTAACGGAGCGGGGAGTCAAGCTGGCGTCAGGGAAATCATCGCTTCCGGTTTCTAAAACATTTTAGACAAAATCACATTCAAGTCACTTAATTTTTTAGCTGAGTGCATTATCTGCGTTGGTAGACCCATTATTATTATTATATTTATTATTATTATTATTATTATTATTATTATTATTAATAATAATAATAATAATGTCAAATCTTGCCACTTTACCTTCAAAATAAAACAATATCAGGCCTGCTTCTGTAACTGGCTGAGTAATCATTTAATTATTTCTCAGTTAATTGATTTATTGTCTTTCATTTTCTAACATATTTTTCCTTAGCCATTTCTGACATGTTTAAACTATTTGTTTTATCTCATGAGTGGTCCAAAACTCTTTTCGGCCCATGTAAGTGAAAAATAAGCACCAAATTCTCATACTAAAGATGCTGTAACTACATATGTTTGTGCTTGGAAATGACTTAAACTATTGATCTGTTGTGGAAATGGTTGTTCAGATTGTTCAAATCACATCACTGCAGGCACTAACTCTGTTGTCTTCATTTGGATAAGTCATTCTCACTTTAAACTAAAGAGCAAAACATTTTCAAATTTAGTGTGAGCTCTAATGTAAGGCCAAAGGTTTTCTGTTACTGTTTTCATTCATATTATCTGAAGAAAGTAAGACTCAGTCCTTCCTTTTTTTCGACAACTACTCATCATCTGAATAACTATAACAAAAACAATTCCTCAGAACACCATTATAACTAGATTCATTGTCAAAAAGATTTACCTCACCTTAACAAATAAGCAAATTGTGACAATTAAATTTCCAGCACAAAAAGGTGGCTGTAAAACATTCTGGATGTGATTTGACCCACAAAAAAGCATTCAAATGTGTGAATAGTGTGTTTACATGATAGGAGAAGTAAAAAAAAAGAGTAGCTCCACTACAGACGTTGGTTAAGTTTTCTGTCTTCTTGTCTTCAAATCAGACAAAATGTAAAATCAATCAAAAATCAAAGGCTAAGATCTGCTGTGCTTAAGAAGAGAACTTCCAAGCTAAGATTATGAATAACAGGTAATGTGATAGGGGTGTTTTCAAGTCGTGTCAGTGCCTTAGTGGAAACCAGAAATTTTGGACTGTTAGATCTATCTGCAAAAAAAAAAAAAATGGTACAATATAAATAGTTTGACACTGTGCTATTATTTTGAAAATAACTCTTCTTGCTTCCGGTTATTATCTAGTCAACTCTGCGACCTTGACGCAGCTGCACGAGTCCTGCTGGTAAACACAGGAGCGTGTGACCAGATAGGATCAAATCCTATGATGTAACCTGACATTTCCAGAAACTTGTAGAGCTGAGGTTTAAATTAAATACTTTAATCTAGAAATGACTGGTTTTATTAAGCATTGTGGCATTGTTTTGTCTAAAGGAAAAATTAAGCCAATTTTTAATTCCAGTATTTTCAGTCCAGATTTATTTCCCAATTCTCTCTAGAATTTACAGTTAAGGACAGAAATCAGTTCACTTCTGTGCAATATCACTTGAATATCACATAATTAAAAACTACATCACCTCTCAATAACTGCATCCTCTCTATGTTGATGGGTATTTCCTCTGCCTTAGGAAAGTCTGCATTGAATATAAAGGCACCAAAGTGGAAGGTCAATGCAACAAAAAGAAATACACCTGTGCTCAACGACAGACAAGTTAGAAAACCTGTGAGCACTGAAACATGTTGAGTACATGTGTCATTTTCAGTTAGCCTAATTGCAATCACCTTGTTACAACATGACCTGTGAACACCAGCACTTTAAAAGTCAAAACATCCCATTGTGAGCTCAGATGAACTTAGAAGAAGATAATTTAAAAAATCAGCTGCAGCAGCGGCCATCCTAGAATAACTCCATGTCAGTACTGTCACAATAAGGCGCTTAAAAACAGATGCGAGTGATTCAAGCTTGGCACAGGGTTATCAGTGAAAATCAGAGTTTCTGTGGCAGTTCAGACAATGTATCTCTATGTACAGCAACCAAGAGAAGAAAATCTGCAAAGAAAAAAAAAGAAAAAGGTGTGAGGAGGTGACCTTTATCGAATGCACCATGAATACCTGTAGATATACCAAAATACTGGTTGACAAGATGACTTCCAGTCAACAGAAGCTTGGCAGGAGAGGAATATTCCAGCATGATGACAATCCAAAGCACATTTCCGATAATCACACAAGCGCTTCTCCAGAAAAAACAAAACAAAAAACTATGACCTATCAAAGTATTTGACTTGACCCCAACAGAACACTGTGGGGCATTTTACTGAGAAGAGTGGAGCAAAAATAAAGAGCAAACACCCTGTATAATGATACAGCTCCGAATCATTTGACATTGAAGTGATAGTACATAGGGGTGTGCTCACTTCTGTGGTATACTGCATTGTTTAAAGGTTAGCCTGCAGCGTCAACCTGACAGCTCATGACAACTGCTCTGTTCTGAGCTTTAACATTTGCCTATTTTTATTTGAGTGACAGCACCAGTGTTGACTTATTTCAAATTGAATATAAACAAGCCACAGTTTAGAAAAACTGGCCTTTATTTAGTCTTTTTACATATGGCTTTAGCTTTTCTTTTATTACAAATGAGTTTTACAAAAGGTTCTGAAGACTTTTGAATCACCCACAGGTGGAAAATCATGAAGAGGTTGATGACACTGCAATGGTACGTCTATGATCAAAGGCTCCCACGCAGTCGCAGCCATAAAGCAGTCACAGACAGCAAAAACAGCAAGGAAACAGTTGTCTCGACACACCGCAGTACAACATCGGACAAGGGACAAACCAGATGGACAGAGTCGACGAAATGCTCGGAATCACAGATAATGCAAAAGTACATAGCGGACATGATTCCCTTTTCTGCGTGTAATTATGCTCATTTACTTCACAAATGCTGACACCATGTTGAGCCCGAACCGTTGACAAGAAATAAACATTTGATCTCTCTGCTCTTTTTACCCAAACAGGGCAAACTGTACCATTGCAGCTCACAAATGACAGAGCAAAACAAAAGACTGCAAAGCAAAGGCCAGTTCAACATTATGACCCAGTGTTGTGTGACCTGATGCCCGTTGACCGTTTCTCATTCTCTACATAGTAAGTTCCACTCATAAGCCACCATGACAACACATTTCTAAACATGATCAGTATTTTCTACATGTCTAATCACTACAATACAGCTCCTTCAGTCAGTTATTTGATTCAGTGGAATTAGAAGACAGAATCAGAGTATCAAATGCATACTTAAAAATCATTAACACCCCATTACATTAGATTGCACTGCATCTAGTTTCAGTTTTCAATGATCCGCCAACTGACACATGATGTGTACAAAAGTTGTTTCATTTTCCAGACAGGTTTTTAAGGTTAAGTCCACCATGAAGACTTTAATTCAAAGTTCTTGTCACAAAAGGTGTTGCATAAACAGGATATGAAGTCTTTTGCATACAGAGGTCTGCAGAGTGGAGTCTGTCTCATGTCTCTCTTCTTGCCTTCTTCTTCTTTGCTGGTTTGGGCGCTTGGCTCTCCTCAGGTTTTTCTGAAGAAACACAAAAATATAGAGAGATTAGTCACACAACTCTTAACAAGGAATTGACAAGTTTTCACAACTGGCCAACATGTCATTTAAAGTGAGGATAATCACACATCTGTTTGCTTCACTAGTAAGAAGCAGATTGACTTCTATTTATAAAAAGTGTTCATCTAACATGATGCCTCACAGTGATGCCCAGGATGCTACAGGGACAACAGGGCAATAAGAAAAATGAAACAATAATGATTATTCAGTCTCAGATTTAGTTTTGTCGGCAAGAGAAACTGAGTTAAAGCAACATTTTTTGCTTGTTTGTGGTAAGGTACTATTTATGAACGAGGTGAACCCATTTGTACCGTTGATCAACTAATGTAACTGATAAGGAGCACACACAGAAGTACACATTAATCTGTTAAGTATTTCTCTGATTAGGTCAGAGTGATTAAATGATTAAGACTGATAGTTTGGTGTGACATTTAGAGTTAGAAATTTTAAAAGTTGGCACCAGAGTGTGTTTGACATTCGATGCTTGATGAATGACTTGAACAAACCGATTTCAGTGTTGTTGCTGATTAATTTTCTGTTGATCATTTCACTTATCAATTAATTGTTTCAGCTTGAAAAACAAAAACATGTAAAAGCAAAGTGATCTCAGCGCTTTATCTGAGAAACTTCAACTCTGGATTTGACACAATGGTTTTTTAAAAACTTTAGATGAAGGGTATAATATGCATAAAAAAATAAACATCTAAAAAAAGTATCAGTCTTACTTGAAGCAACAAAGTGAAAGATAAATCTTCCAGAGAAGTTGCAAATGGAAATGTGTTGTCGCTTCTACTACTGCACCTTTCTAGCAACGGTGTACTTAACACTAATGTATGCAAAAAGTACCTTATTGTTTGGACAGAAGAGGATCTCATAAAATAGAATCCTGATTTGCCTTTCAAATGAAGGCTTTTATCGAGAGAAAAAAAAACTACATATAGTGATGTTTTAACAGACATCAGATGTGTTTCTGTCAAAAGTTAAAGTCACAAGCTTCTACTGCTCCATGAAACGCATTTCATCAGGAAGTTGTCATTTCTCAGCAACACTGTACTTCATACCAGCTGGGGGTCACTAAAGATGACTGCTGAGCCATATCTCTTGCTAGCTTTGTACAAATTGTTATTTAATGATGCATGCAAGAGATCAGAGTTTGACTTTTTTTTTTTTTAAACAAACGAGCTAGCCATTTCTACTGATTGCACTTTGTCCACCTCTGTAATTTACTAAGCAACAAACCTTTGAGCATCCCATCTACCAACACTGAGGGAGTCAACAGTATGATACATTACCAAACTGTTTCTAGTAAAGGTCAGACTTTTCTCTGGCTGACTGCAATGAATACAAAACCATTTGACAGAACAAGGCAGTCAACAACTGCATCAGTTTCCTCTGTTGAACATGCATATCACGAATTGTATGCTGGCTGAGAATAAACTGAAAACAGTTGCAATTTTACATTTAGAATTTTTGTCAAAAAGGTCCATTTTACTAAATGTTTCAGAACCATCCTCAAGAGCTTTTGGTCTTGCATTTGATGGTATGATGTGGTTACTTTGTTGTGCTGGAGCAGGATGGTTATTCTGCTTGGCAGTGGGCTCTCCATCAGTTGGCTTCTGTGGCACTTGTGTGACAGGGGGTTTCTGGGATTTGTTGTCCTTCACTGGACGCTCCACTCTTGCCTGTTAGGAAAAAGACAGAAATGTGTTTTCACTTTCTTAGCAAAGACGAATAAACAAATCAGCTACACATCTGTAAGACATCACTGAGCAAGACAGCTAATGTTCAACACGACCGAACAGTTTGCTGGTTCATGAGGAGAATGCTTTTCAGATCATCTCATTCCTTGCCTCTCGGGCCCACTGACCTCAACGGCAGCTGCTGGCACAGACTGGACGGCAGCAGTGATTTCCTGAACAGGTGGCTGCTTCTTCACTGAGGCTGGGGGTGCTGTCTCCTTCTCTGGCTCCTCAACCTTTACACAACACAGAGCAGAGTTTACGTTGAACTGTCAGGTGAATTAAAGGTAAAAACTTAGCCAAGACAGCAAAAAGAATAAATGCACTCGCTGAGTACAATACTAGTCGCTTCTACTGTGAGTAGGCACTAATGCTCTGTATAAATGGAGTGCTTTGAGACTGAACTTTACACAATTTCATTGTATTTTGTCTTGCCAACAGTAGCCATTTATTCCATGAGAGAATAAAATGCTGTTAGTGCACTGTGTGGTACGCTCTCAGGTAGCTGTTACCTGGCCAGCTGTTCCTCCCTCCTCAGCAGCCTTCTTCTTCTTCTTTTTCTTCTTCTTGGTTTTAGCTGCTCCATCAGCAGCTGTCTCTCCCTTGTCCTTCTCATCTTCATCATCCTCCTGTAAACCCACATTGATACAACATGGCTCAGAGAGAGCAGGAACTCATTCACAACACAAAACTGCAACAAATCAGATCACCGAGTATATTACAGCAGAGATGTTATTTCAAGAATGACTCTAAACTACATTAACTCTGCCACTCATGGGATAAAGGACAGATTTAGCAATTCCTCCTTCGATGGTAACATGGTGGTAACATGGCTACACCATGGCAAACAGTAATTTACACACACACTTAAGTTAATAATTACTCATATCATTGATTGTATGTGTTTTTCATGTTATGAAAAGTCAGACAATCTGCCATGAGAAGGCCTGTTAATTAAACCCAGTCAGTCTACATTCACATAGTGGACGAAACAGAAATTATTAATAAACAATGTGGGTGGGTCGTGGGTGTGCTGGGGTTGTGATGTTCTTAATTTAAAAAAATAACAAAAAAAAAAAGTGTGTATTCAGTCTCCTGTGTTTAGTCACTAACACAAGCAGCAGGGCCACAGTCAGAGGCAAGAACCAGGACAGTCGTCTTGGGGCTTGAGCCCAGAGGACTCATCAATTACTGGGTTGTTATTTTAAAAACTTCAAGGTAGCTTCCATAATGCCTTGTTTGGGCGTTCTTATAACAGCTCCAATCAGCAGATTAACCTTGGCTGGATCTGGGGTGGGCAGCTCCGGAGCACGAGGAGGATTAGGTTTGGGCTCTTCATAGTTTCCCCAGGCTTCAGAGGGAGCATTCCAGTCAGAGCTGGGGTCGGCCGAACTGCCATCTGAGAAACACAGAGAGAGTCAGAAAAACACAGCCGTAAAGGATAACGATGATGCTGCACCAAAGTGAACGGGAGCCGTAAAAGAAAACCAATAAATGATGCTTACTGAGTCCAGACCACTCATCGTCCACTCTGGGCTGACTGAGCCAGGACAGCTCACTAACAGGTTGGGGCTCTACAAAGACAAACACAACAGTAAGGCACCCAACGCAGCACCAGAGGCGCCATCTGGTGGTGACAGTCATTTTTCACATCATGGGCTTACTGCAGCGTACTCTTACCAGCAGTTCCAACTCCCAGCCCACTCAAAGACACCAGATTTAGTTCCGTTGTGGGCATGCCCCGGTCTATCACAGTCCACGACTCTGAAACACACATTTCACAGATGCAATGACATCACTGTTCAAATCTGAACAAATAAAGTGCATTTATTGGAGCATTTTTGCAGCTTTATATTTGAAGAATACGCGAGCTGCATTTTCTAGTGTTGACAATACACAAATGAATTCTGATTGACTTGGTCAGTTCAGGTAAAAACACCAACCGCACTGTTTGCTAATGAACAGCTAGACCTTATTTTCTTTCAAGGGTTTTTTTTTGTACAAAGTCTGACCTTTTCAAGGGTTTTTTTTTGTACAAAGTCTGACCTTTTCAAAAGCCAACTTTGATTAAAGGAACATTGTTCCAAAAAATACATGAGTTAACCTACATACAGGGGCGTGTCAACATCTTTTCCCATTTACTTTATTGTGTGGAAGTGATTAGGAGCGCTCTCAATGTGAAAGCTAACATGTGGCTGCTATTACACCCCTCTTCTTAACTAGTAGGGGGTTAACTGTTGAGAAAACAATCTTACCACTAGCTCCATTTACCAGCAGTTCAGAAGCTTTTAATCATATGGCATAATCTTTGTCAGCAGATGAGGTTTGCCCAGTTGCAGTAGAAATTCTCACTTTTTCCCCAAGCTCTTTAAGGATTGCTGTCGAACAGTCTTTTTTTCCGTAGGAACATTCCTAACAGGGTGAAATGATCTGCAAGTACCTAAGTGGCAGCCATAAGAGCTGGTGGAATTCTCTAAAGGCTATGGAAGGGCACTTCAGTGTCTTTTCTTATCTCATTTAGCATAGGACACACCGGTCTATCATTTATGAAAGAAAAGGCAATGATGTCATCCTACAGTTCCTTGCATCAGAAACATTTAAAACTATGCACCATCTTCAGAAATCCCACCTCAACATAATTCATCATTGCATGATTACATAGCCTGGTGGAAGTACACCCAGATTTTCATAACAATACAGTTGTCTTTTCCTGTCCTCACAAATTCTCCTTCACATCTTTTCTTGCCTTTATGATGTTTTCCAATGAAGTCAAGGTAAAGTGTTTTTTTTCTATAAAAAAAAAGAAAAGGAAAGAGAAAAAAAAGAAGCAAAATATTGTCTTTCCGCTGATGAAGATCATGTCACATGATCAAAGGAATACTGTCTAAAAGTAAATAACTAAATAAATAATATTACATTTTGAAAAATCTGCAATTTATCAGAGCGTAAACAGAAAGAATTGTCAAGAGGAGATAAGCAGGGAAACAAAATGAAGATGTCAATAGTTACGTATCTTCAGCATGTGTATCTTCAAAATGTATATGGTTCAACAATTGGGCAGTTTAGTGGAAGAGATGAAACATTCCTACCATCAATGCCCGACCTCCACAGTGATGCTGACTCTCTGCTGGTCGTCCAGGGGCCTTTCTTTGGGGTAACTTTGTGAGCAGGCACCTTGACTGTCATGTCAGTCGCCACAGTAGCCACCTCTGCTGCCTCACTGTTGTTAACTAATACCAAGAGAAAAACATTTGATACTCGACGCCACAATAAATGCCAATAAGGCTGGCAATTCATCCAATGATGGAGTGACTTCTTTCTACTATACACAGCTGAGATATCACTCCATGGGTTCGCTTACTGAGCTAGTAACCATTCAAGAGCGGAAGCATTTTCTGCTGATAATTACCTTGAGAAACAACAGTTTCCACCTTATCTGCCTTCACTTTGGTGGACTCTCCTGAGAACAGAGGATGAAAAGGTCAATAAATGCCCGACACACCATCCGTAGGACGCTGTTTTTAAAGAGAGCGCACATGCACACACAAACAGCTCTGAGATAATTCACTTGAGACTCAAGTCACTTCCCATGATGCCTGTTTTTATACTCAGTCATGTCAACAGGAGACCCAATGAAAAGCAACAACAACATTTATAGGAAGAACAGACAGAAATATCTCTCTCCAGCTGTCAAATGAGGCTGTTTTCCTACAACAGCTAAGAGGGTTTGTGTTTTGTGTAAATGGATGCAAGAAAAAAAATAACACCACTGAAATTAAGCAAAATGGTTTTTCGAGCACCTTTTTTCTTCTTCTGGTTGGCAGGTGCGGGGACTGCAGAGGCCTTCGGCTGCTCTGGGGGAGCACTCACAGGTGTGTCCCCTCCTCCGGGACTGGCCGAGCCATCGCTGGAACTCTTATCTTTCTTGCGTTGCTCACGTTTCTCCTTGTTGCTGACCTTGGTTTCCCATGTGCCTGTAAAGTACCATTGAGTACAGATCAGAATGAGTTGGGAAATACTCAACGGGTTCATTATGAGATTAGTGTGGAAATATGGTATGGATTAGGAAAGATGAAGGAATAAATGTAGTGACTGTTAGAAGTCTGTCTCAAGCTTGTCCTATTCTCTACCACTGGTCATTTTTTTACTTCATGTTTTCACCCATGGCCACATTTTGTGTCAAAATTAGTACAAAGGTTAATCGTTCCATTTGTGGTTCAAAGCCTGGTTGCTGAATGTGCTGTCCTAAATAAGATATGAAAGGGGGGGAAAGAACATCTTAAATAACAGATCACCCCCAGTTATCATTCTGAATAAAACAAGTAAATTCTGATGTGATTCATAATATTTCACCTTCTTCTGGTTCTTTCCCATCCGCAGTCACTGTCTTAGTCTCCTTTACAGCCTGTTTGGCCTTCTTCTTGGACTTCTTTGCCTGAAAGACGAGAAACAGTGGGCATAAAGTAGAAAAGAAAGCCATTGTACTTAGCAAAAAAAAAAAAAAAGGCTAAAGGAGAAGGAGCAAAAGGAGAAACGTCACACTATGTGGCACACACACAACATGAGTTCACCAACAAGACCAGCGACTCGGCAAGCAAGCCCATGATGAATGAACCGTGGACAGTAAATCAAATCAGCAGCATGTCTATTTATAAGTGAAACGACATTTACCGTCCAAGACTATCCAAATGTGTTGCATGTACCTTTTATAAGCACATCTCCATCTTCTGGTTTGTGCAAAATCACAACTATTGACTAGAAGAACTTTAAGACCTCAGTTAGTGATATATGGTCTTCAGAGAAAAAAAGACATGTAATTTGATGAAAGGCTGCACTGCTTGCTGTTATAAGCCAGGGGGCATCCCTAAGGTTTTGCTGCATCTGCAAGCTGAAAACTGCAACCCAACACTGGCACTTGGTTGCATTACTGCAAGGTGACAGGGAGAAAACGTGGTCCCTCCTCAACTGCTTCTGAATGAAGACGCTAATAAAGATGAGGCGACTTATAAGGGCTATCTTTCAGACAAACAGAATCAAAGCATTACAGTGGATAAAATACGATGTCCAAGTCACAACAGCATACCATCATGTCACATTTTTAAGTTACCTCAGTAACCTTTTCAGCCTTGACTTCTGCTGGGGGCGGCTGGTGATGTGGCAAGATCTCCTCCGACACTATGGCTTCTTCCTGTGGTTCAGCAACAGCTCTTCCATTTGGCTGAGATTTCTGGAAAAGACGTGTGCAGATATTATTATGAGGGTCACAGTATTGTCCAGCTATGTGACTTAAAAGCAGTCAATAAAAAGCACATGACACCACCTAAGGCTAGCAAAGCCGAGCCGAGCACTAGCCTGAAGCTAGCTGCGGTGACATGAGATTCAACTGTCACCGTGCTGTTAGACAGCTAGCCGTGCTAACGGTACGGTTATCAGCTAGGAAAGGGTGGTACTTTCATTTTCATCTACGTGCCTTTTCTGCCTTCTTCTTCTTTTTCTTCGGTTCCTCGGTTTTGACGGGTTTACTGACACTTCGTTTTATTTCTATTCCGTCGTCCACCGAGCTCACAGCCGGACGCTTCTTGAAAAGAGCCCGACAGACTGAGGCCCACAGAGCGACCATCAGCACCAGCCCGGTACATGCCGCTAAGAGGATCATCCATGGCGGAATAAGCTCAGGCTTCAGTCCCAAATCCACGCCGAGCTCGGACCGCAGCAACTCCAGGCCTTTGGATAACAGTTCATTCAGACGATTTGTAAGCAGCTTGACCTGCTGAGAGGCCGCGTCCTGCCACTCTTCCATTTGTATTGTTTTTCAAACAACAGACCGATTAGTCACGCTTTGCCTACCGCTATTAGCTGCGCTAGCATGCAGTGCTAGCTAAAAATAACGGAACGATATCGACATGATGAAAAACAATAAATTCATCCGCCAGCAACATCGGTCAAACCAGACAGCCAGTTTGCTAGCTAAGTCGAGTAAGCGCCACGTTGGCAAACTAAGTTAGCTAACTAGCCGCCAAGCTAGCTGATATCATCATAAGTTAATATGCCGCCGCTAGCTGACCACCACAATGCATCCACTGTGACCGCAAGTAAAGCAGGTTCACCTCATATGGCTCCGTTTTGACTGGAGGAGCAGCGGTGCCTTCAAGACAGTTGTAAATTGGAGCTTCCGCGTTGTAAATCTCAACTGCGTGTTGAAGCAGTCTGTGATTGCTAGCGAAAAAAGGCAATTTAAACAAAGTAGTTGTAACTACTGTTAACTTCAATATAGTACATTTATTGTGTGTTTTAAGTGTCAAATTTAAAAGGAAACTGTGCTTGCGACATGGCTTTGAATTGTTTTACTATATGCCCACATATGGAATACCACATTTCGCATCAGTTTTTGACAAGGTGCCTTATCCCCATAAAGGGCACATGGTGATATTTTGGCTTTTATTTAAATAGACTTCCTCAGCTAAATTAAATGGCCACACTACATTATTATTTTGCTCCAATTTATTTGAAGGCAACAACAGCGGTCCCTGACAGCTCCAATGAAGTGGGCGGGGCCATGATTTCTCTCAAGCTGATTGGCCAAAACTCTCCGTTCAAAAACGTCTCCAGTCACCCTACAAAATAATTGTTCGGATGTACTGGTCAACTTCTTTGTAAAAACATCTACTCCGCACTACATAATCTCCAGCCTTCCAAAGCATATTTTGGGAGGCCTTAACTTTGTAGGCTTGTTCATTTGCAATATTTACTTATGTAATGCAACCCCCCTCCAAAAAATGGACTTGCTCTACAAATTCATAATAGAAAATCCAATTTTATTAAAATATAGCAAATAATGATATATAGTTATTTCAATGAAGGACTGGGGGGAGAGTCCAGGTTAAATGGCCTTTTACGGTGTGTTGCAGTAACTGTGACTAAATTATTTGGATATTGATTATTTGATTATAAAATTGTGGAAGCCTTAAATCAGGGCTGTCCAATCCTGATCCTCGGGGGCCACAGTCCTGCATGTTTTAGATGTTTCCCTCTTCCAACACACCTGATTCAAATGATCAGGATCGTTATCAGGCTTCTGCAGAGCTTGATGATGAGCTGATCATTTGAATCAGGTGTGCTGGAAGAGGGAAACATCAAAAACATGCAGGATTGTGGCCATTGAGGACCAGGATTGTGGCCATTGAGGACCAGGATTGAACACCCCTGCCTTAAATAAATCATTGTTTCCATTAACTTTGGTAAAATTGTCACAGGTAAGTATAACATTAATGCCACAATTATCCCCCACTACTTTTAACAGAAGAAGTTAAAGGAGGGGGAAAAAAAATCACAACGGACAACTTATTTGCATCCAAGTTTATTTTGAAATTCCCTACTCCCCCTGTACAAGAAAAAACAGGACTTTCCACAAAGGCAGCAGTGAACTGTCAGTGATAGTACTTTTCTAGGGAAGGAAAAAAAACTTATAATCACAGTGTGTCTTCTGTACTTCTTTTAAATATTTCTACTGCTGTCATCTTTGGCTGGGTTTTCGGCAGACAGCTTTCTGTCACACCAAATTCCTGGGAAACAAAGGTTTAAGCCAATAGAGCAGGGCTGTGGGCTTTACATTTTACAGTGCCAATGCAGGAATGTTCTGGACCGTATAACTCTTTTTCATTAACACAAAGAAAAAACAATAAAAATTGAAATAAAAATAACAAGCCGTTTGTGTTCACAACACAAACAAATATTACCGTCCGGGGAGATAGCGACAGTGTGTCGAATTTCATAAAATTGTTTAGACAAAAAATAAATCTACAAAAATGGAGCTAGGTAAATATTACACAACAGTAAACATGTTTTTCTTTTTTTCCTTTTTTAAACTTTTCTGTTGAACCTCTACACAAAACCAAAATTCTTGGTCTTAATGGCTAGCAGGAGTTTCTGTTTGAGTATCTGTTTTGAAGAGTAGAGTGGCACGTAGAGACGTGAGATGCAGGTATTGGCTGTGGGGAGGTGCTGGTCGTCTGGAGGTCGGATGGTGATGGAGGGCATTGGCTGGAAGCCCTCTTCGCTGGCTGGCAGAGAGGGGCTGGAGGTCCAGAAGTACACCTGTGGGGCAGAAAATGATGAGTCACATTAGTTACCACTATATTCATCTTCTTGTGCACTGGAGTTGAGGAGCACAAAATTACCAAGAAACAAATTTTTATTGAATACATTCTGACTCTATGGTCCCCATCACTTAGTGCCACCACAGCTGTCCCTCTGCTTGTTATTTGCTATTTGGAGAAGATTTCACTTCCACATTAAGAAAAACAAATGCCTCTTGTAAAACATTTTTATTAATAAATTAATGTGATGCAATGGCCAAACAAAACAAAGTACAACCAGTGAAAAAATAAAAATAAAGAAATGGAACTGAAGCCTTACAAAAACAAGCGACACCAGTACTGCTCTTAATTTTTTCCATTTTGAATGCAAAAGCTACAACAGGTAGACCAACCACACAACCTTCCCCCGGAGTGGGTCCTTGAAGAATTCAAACTAGACTAAAGTTTGAAATTAAAGTTTATTTTAGTATACAATCTCTAAGAACAAACAGTTTCGTTGCCCCATAAAAATGTTTCGAAGTGTGTTTCAGAATGAAAAGACAAGTGATTTTGCTCTGATTGTTTCTCAGAACCCATGACCTAGTTACCAACGGTCTGTCAATACCAAAAAAAGGAGGAAGTGTAAAGAATCTAAGCCCCGAGGATCAACAACAGCTAACAGGGCTGGGCCACATCATATCGTGCACAGTAATACCGGTGTAATGTTAGGGGATGATATGAAATTGAAATATCGCGATAAAGTTTGAGTGAAACGCACACGCGCGGTGCCGTTGTTTTCGTCTGGTCGAATGCACATGGAGCGAGAAGCATGGTGACGACCGAGGAGGAAGGCGAATGCAGTGCATCAACCGACACAGTAAGGCTGGACCCAAATATCATTGTGGTGGTGTCCGCATAGCAATTTTGAGATCCGAATATTCGCCCACCGCTATCCTAAACTGGCATTAGCAGCCAAGTACTGCCTGCTCATCCCGCCCACTTCCACTCCGTCGGTCCGAATATTCACCCGCTGCTATACCACTACCATTTTGTCTAGCGTCAATTATATCGTCACTTATATCGTTATCACAAATTTTCTCATTTATATTGTGATAAATATTTTTGGCCATATCACCCTGCCCTAACAGCTAATCAGTTTTAGCCTTCTCAAGACAAGATCTGATAAAAATTGATGAATGGCTCCGCCTGCCCTTGTCTTGAAGAATTAGAGCCGCACGTTCTGTCAATGGCGATTTAGTAACGTCCTCATGCCGGTTGTCTATACTGAAATAGTTTGGTTTGCATTGTTTCCACAATATTAATATATATTTCCACAACATTAATCTTGAATCTGAGCGTTCATATGATGTAACTCACAGATCCAGTGATGATGCAAAGCAATGAATTCATGAAAGCCCCTGTGAGAAATGGTTTAAAAAACAATTATGACGAGAACAGGCTTACCAGATCTTGCCTTTCAGTCATACTCATCTTCTCCACTATGGACCAAAACCAGCGTTTAAACTGGAGCAGTTTGTCTGCATTTTCCCCTGTTGGATGAACCAAAACCGTGCTCAATACTTTACAATAAACCGTACATTAGTAAATCTTTCATTATTGAGAAAGCAGAACATGAACAGATGCAGATTGAGCAAAGAAGATCCAGACAGAGCTACATACCAGATTCATCGTTGAAGGAGGTAAAGCTAATAAGCATCTGGACGTTGACTTCTCCACAGCCGTTGACCAGCAGCCTGAAGTCCTCAGCTGTTAAGTCCTCCAGGGCGTTTTTAGGAAGTACATCCAGCAAACCCTTCCTCATTGCCTTTAAAAGACATACAGAATCTTTGAAACTGACAAAACGTTAGCCTGTGTTCCAAAAAACTCATGCTTTGAGTTAAGGCTTCGCAGAACACACAGCCATTCATTCAATTCACAGCCAACAAAGAAGGAATATTAATTCTTTTCCTTACATGAAGTGGTTGCTCAGCCACCACTAGCATTCTGTGCTCTGCATACTTCCTCACATACTCGTACACGTTGAGGGGAGTTACTGGCATGTTGACCCCACCAGACAGAAGCTCCACCTACACAAGGCGGAACAAGGCATTAACATTCACTTCATGTACAAAGATATCTCAAAGACAGTTATCTTTTCAATACTCAATATTCAGCAGCTGTTAAAAGCTTTTCTGCATGTGTGCATTCTCCATCTCAAGTTCCATGTAACGCAAATAAGGGATTGTCCAAATCATCTGACTGTGTTCAGACAGAAATGTACAGCTAAAGTTTCAACTAATATTGTTTATCAGGAGTTGGAAAACCTGGAAATCTGTACATTTTGCAGTGCCATTTTCAGTCCACACAAGTTAATTCTGACATTTTTTGAAGTTTGCTGTCTAACTTTGGTGGCACAACAAGAATCCAGTCTGTTACCTGTCCAGCTCCTTCCTCTTTGCAGAGGTCAATGGCAAAGGCCAGGTCCATGGCAGCAAATACCGCATCTGCTTCACCAGCCTGTGAATGGCGGATGAGCTGCCGCAGGCTCTCATACATGACGGGGTCAAAGAACGCAAAGTCATGCCAGTTCACCTGCAGTGACAAAGATCGTGAGGACATTGAGCAATTTTATTCTGAAAAGCGCAACAATCACATAGCAGGGCCTAAACTGTAGGTGCTAACATGTTATTGAAAAAATATTTTCTCTTACCTTCCTACCAAGCAGCACCTTGATGACATGTCTGTTCAATGTGATTGGACAGAGTTCATTCTGCAGCAGACATAACCCCAGTATTCTGTACAGAAAAGACAACATATTACCTTGCAATTTCCTTAATTGTCAAATGCAGAAATTATTTTCCCTAACTTTATTCTCATGAGAGAATTTTGGTCCAATCAAATTTCTGTTTGACCCAACAAAATGCAATTATCTTTTTCAATTCATTACCTGCCAATGTTACGGAAGCAGTTGAGTCTGGCCTCCGTATTTTTGCCAGGTCGAGGGGAGTAGAAGCCTCGTTTTCCTGGCTGGTAGAAGAGA